CATCCCCCAGTGCCTTCGCCTTGCTTCCTCCCTTTCCTCCTTCAAGGCCGGTCTCAAAACCTTTCTCTTTGACCGTGCCTTCAGCTCCCCTCTCGACTCTCTTCCCCCTCCTCGCTCCCTCCCTTCCCTCCCCTCAACCTGACCATTTCCCCCCTCCTCTCTCCCTCCCTTCCCTCCCCTCACCCTGACCATTTCCCCCCTGCTCGGGTCATGACCCAACTGTGCAGCGCCTTGGGACGTCCTCCTGACGTGAAAGGCGCTTTATAAATGGAATCTTGTTGTTGTTGTTGTTGTTATTGTTGAGGTGGGAGGACAAGCGGTGGAGGAGGATAGCGTGGTTGACCGTATCGAATGCTGCCGATAGGTCGAGGAGGACGAGGAGGCAGAGGGAGCCCTGGTCACAGATGGTCAGGATGTCATTGGTGACCTTGACCAGGGCAGTTTCTGTGCTATGGGCAGCATGGAAACCCGATTGAAGGGGTTCGAATAGTGAATGGTTGGAGAGGAAAGAGCGCAGCTGGGAGGCCACAACTCGTTCCAGGACCTTGGATAGGAAGGGGAGGTTGGAGATGGGCCGGTAGCTTGATAGCTGCGATGCATCAAGGGAGGGTTTTTTCAATGTGGGAGTGATGGTGGCAGTTTTTAAGGGAATGGGAATGGAGCCAGAGGAGAGGGACAGGTTGACGATGCCTGTGATATGTGGGGCAAGGAGGTGGAGCTGAGAGATAAGGAGTGGAGTGGGGATGGGGTCAAGGGAGCAGGTGGTAGGTTTCAGGGAGAGGATGAGTTTGGTGACAGAGGATGGGGAAACGGGTACGAAGTTGTGTAGGGGAGGATGGGTAGGAGTCGGAGTGTGGGAGGGAAGGGGTGGGGGGTGGGTGGATGTCGGAGGGGAAGTGACCGCGGAGCGGATTCCCTTGATCTTGGATTCCAGGAAATCCAGCATCTCCTCGCAGTGAAGGTTGGAGGAGATGATCTGCGCGGGGTGGCGGGGGGGACGGAGGAGTTGGGATGTGGTAGAGAACAGTAGCCTGGGGTTGTCCTTCGCCTTCGAAGGACGATTTGGCCGAGGCTAGAGTGGAGCGGTAGATTTTGAGGAGGTCCACCCAGATTTGTCGGTGGACCGTTAGGCCAGATTTGACCCAGGTGCATTCAGCGGCCCGCACCTGGCTCTTCAGTGAGCGGAGGTGGGTGGTGAACCAGGGGGAGGAGCGACAGTAGGAGACAGTACGGGAGGTGATAGGGGCAAGAGTGTCGAGTGTGGAGGAGAGGGTGTTGTGGAGGAGGGTGAGAGCAGAAGAGGGGTCGGTGAGGGTTGAAGGCCAGAGGGAGAGGAGTTCAGAGGACTCCAAGGCAGCGGGTAGGGATTGAGGGGGTAACTTCTTCCAGGAGCGGTAGAAGATGGTGGTGGGTCTGGTGGAGGTGGGGAGGGGGTGGAGGTGGTGAAGGAGATGAAGTGGTGGTCGCAGATGGCCTTATCGGTGATGGTGACATCCGAGACACTGAGGCCCCGGGTGATCACCAAATCGAGTGGGTGGCCGTGACTGTGAGTGGAGTTGATGTGGAGGGAGAGGTTGAGCGAGGAGAGCAGGGAGGAGAAATCTGAGGAGATGGAGCAGGAGGGGGTGAAGTGCAGGTTAAAGTCGCCCAGGATGATGAGGCGATCAGAGCAGAGGCAGAGAGATTTGAGAAGTGTTGAGATATCAGAGATAAAGGTGGGAGAGGTTTTAGAGGGCCGGTAGAGGAGGAGGATTTTAAGTGAGAGGAAGGAGGGGTGGGAGAGGGTGAGGTGCTCAAAAGAGGGGAAAGAGCCAGAGGAGTAGGGGGAGAGGGCAAGTGGTGTCCTTGAGATAAGGGCAACACCACCGCCACGGCGGTTGGGGCGAGGGATGTGGTGGGAGGTGTAGCCGGGTGGTGTGGCCTCCGTGAGGGGGAAGGTGTCGCCTGGGGTGAGCCAGGTTTCTGTTAAAGCCATGAGGATGAGATCGTTGATGACCAGGGCCTTGTTACAGAGGGAGCGGACATTTTGTCGTCAATGTGGAGGGAGCGGTTGACAGAAGGGTGTGTGGGAGGGGAGGGGGGTCCAGGTTGTGGGGCAGGGGTGGGGTGATGGGGATGAGGGAGGAGATGTTGCCTCCCCGGGTCTGTGTCCGGGGTGGCTGGCGAGAGTGGTGAGGAATGGGGCAGTCGGTGTGGCTGCTGCTGGACAGCCAACGCCGAGTGCCACGGTGAGCCCGGCGGAGGATTCCCAGGCTGGAGCAGAGGGAGGTTGTGGGAGGGTCAAGTGGAGAAAGAAGGCGAGAGGGACGGAGAGAGAGGAGGAGAGAGCGGGAGAGATGCAGAGGGGGGAGGGTTTGGGGGTAGAGAGGAGGGAGGAGGGAGGGAGGGGGTGAGGGGGCTCGGGTCATAGCGGCAGCCATATTGTGCACGCGGGGGACCGGGAGCAAGCGGTCAGGTGGATGGACACATTATCCCATGGGCTCACAACCAACTCACAACCCCCTACACTCACACTCCCTCCAGTCACATACATCCCTCACTCACACACACACACTCACATACACGCTCCTGTGTGGGTACTGAGACACGTGAGAGTGAAAGACGACATCTTCAGTAACTGTTGACTGAGTAACAGCCGTTTGAGCGTTTGATAAACGAATAACAGAAAAGGCTTTGAAATATTCTCTCGGGCAGATCAGAGGGTGTGAGACTATTGCAGGACTCCAGCACACAGATACCCACACCCACCCATCCCTAACCCCACCCCCTCGCCCTCACCTAATAATCCTTGTGTTTGATAATAACTCTTACATTTATTATAATAAGCCTTGCATTTGAAATAGCGCCTTATCACGTCATTGAGATGTCTCAAAGCGCTTCACAGAATAGACTGTAAAGGGAATTGGTTGTATATTTTGTGAGCTTACTATGCTGTTTATACTTTGGAGTCCTGTAGCTCAGTGGTTAGAGCACTCGCTTTGCAAGTGAGAGACCTGAGTTCAATCCCAGGCAGAGGGCGAAACCTTGGGCAAGTTTCCTTACTCCACACAGAGCCTAATAATAATCCTCCAAAATCAAAAACAATAATAAATTGGTCATTTTCAATCTACGACTGTTTGTGGGACATTGCTGTGCGCAATTGGCTGCCGCGTTCGCCCACAAATATACAGTCAATTCACTTTACAGTGTGTTCTGTGAAGCGCTTTGGGACGTTCTCCCGACGTGAAAAGCGCTATATCAAATGCAAAGATTATTATTATTATTATTATTATTTGTGGAGTCAAGTAGTATTTTGTGGGCGAAACGTGGCAATCAATTTGCACAGCAGTGTGCTGCAACCTAGGGATCCCAGAGTGTGCGTTGGAGTAACTGCTGGAGTGTAACAGCTAAACCCGCATAGTTTGCCATTAAAAGCACTGTTTGGCAAGCTTTCCCGCTGCTCGTCCAGCTCAGACCCCCTACCCATTAGAGCTTTGGCTTACAGGGTGACCAGGAGCTGAGGGAGAGGATTCCCTGCCCCCAGTGACTGGTCGGCCCTTCCAGGTCCTGCTGATGAGCCGGGCCGGGCTGTGCTGCCATCAGCAGTGAGTGCCCTGGAATTCTGCGGCCCCTCCTGGCTCAGGAACCGGGGGCTCAAGACCGTCACGGGGGGGGGGGCTTGATTCTGACATTGCATTGTTAAGCAGGTCACCTTGGGCCCAGTTCATCCCTGAGGAGACCCCACTTACCTCCCCTCAAGGAGGATAGTTAACGAACATCTCATCTGAAGGTTGGCATCTCCAACCATATAATGTTCCACTAACACTGCCCTGAAGCATCAGCCTGGATTAGAGGTTCATCTGCTCCAGAGAAACATTGGTGAGGAAACCAATGAACTAAACAGAAAGGCTTTGACTTCAGGCGATAACGTGTGTTGTTCTGGGAGTACAGTGAATAAAAGGAGGGACTGTCAGGTAAACCAGCGAGGATCACGGCCAGGCAGGACTGAGGCAGTAACAACAGATATAGGAATGAAGCAACTCGGAGCTTTGCAGAGAGAGCATAAATGCCACTGTTTGTGGGGACACTGCTGTTGGCTGCTTCGTTTTGCTCACAAAACATACGGTCCATTCACTTTAGCATAAATTCTGTGAAGTGCTTTGAGACGTCTCAGAGAGCTGATCCCTGACCACGCAGCACCTTGAGACTTCCTTCTGACATGAAAGGAGCTATACAAATGCAATTTGTTGTTGTTGTCTCAACCAATAATAAGGCGCTATAGTATAGAATCCTACAGCACAGAAGGAGGCCATTCAGCCCATCGTACCTGTGCTGGCTCTTTGAAGGAGCTACCGACTAGTCCCACTCCCTTACCTTATAGCCTTGCAATTTTTTTTCTTTTTCAAGTCCCTATCCAATTCCCTTTTGAAAGCTATCATCGAGTCTGCTTCCAGCAGCCTGCGTCAGGCCCTGCGTTCCAGACCATAACAACTCTCTGGGTAAAAAAAAATTCTTGTCTCCCCTCCAGGTCTTTTGCCAATTATCTTGACTCTCTGTCCTCTGGTTACCAATTCACCTGCCAGAAGAAACAGTTTCTCCTTATTTACTCTTTCAAAACTCCTAATAATTTTGAATACCTCGATCAAATCTCCCCTCGACTTTCTCTGCTCTCAGGAGAACAATCCCAGCCTCTCTAGTCTCTCCACATTTCACGAGATTGTTTTTTATAATCATGGAAGGGTCAACAACAACAATAAATTACATTTACGCAGCGCCTTTCACGCCAGGAGGACGTCCCAAAGCGCTGGACAGTCAGGGATTTGGACCCCAGCTGGGGGTTGGGATCAGGAGGGGGTGGAGAGTGGGGAGGGTGGGGGTAGGAGGGTGACCAAAGGCACGGTAGTAGAGGAGGGTCTTGAATGAGTCAAGGGAAGGGGAGAGAGGCGGAGGGATTGTGGGATGGAGTTCCAAAGAGTGGGCGCGTAGAGAGAAAATGACACATAATGACTGGAATCCAGTGATTAAGAGAAAGGATTAGTGGCGATTTATTCATGTGATATCGTTCGGAGCGTCAGGAGTGGAGGACAGATGGTAGTAGTGAGCGCTGACAACACAGACAGTGATAAACAAACACATTTATTGGCTGTGTTTTTCGTTGGGAATTTAATGCCGTGTGTAATGGTTACGTGATTAAACAAATGCCAGGTCGGGAGGTTTGGCACATCACCAGCCTTGTGGGGGTGCGGAGGATTCAAACCTGGGGAGAACAGATGGGAAAGCATTTGATGAACAGTTTGATAATTGACACGCCTATAATTGATAAATATATCGATTTGTACTGTTGATATTTTCCGCCAATTTTACTGCTTTCACTCCTGATTTAACAGTGTTTGAATGTGGACCCAAGTGATGGTGAGACACCAATAAATTATGACTGAAAACACAGATCATTAATCATTCAGAGGACCAACTGGGGGCAGAGTCTGTGATAATAATAATAATAATAATAATAATAATAATAATAATAATAATAATAATCCTGGCATTTGAGACAGCACCTGATCACGTCTTTGAGAGTTCAGTCAGTGAATGTGAGCGGGTGTGAGCAGTCAGTCAGTGAGTGTGAGCAGTCAGTCAGTGGGTGTGAGCAGTCAGTCAGTGGGTGTGAGCAGTCAGTCAGTGAGTGTGAGCAGTCAGTCAGTGGGTGTGAGCAGTCAGTCAGTGGGTGTGAGCAGTCAGTCAGTGGGTGTGAGCAGTCAGTCAGTGGGTGTGAGCAGTCAGTCAGTGGGTGTGAGTGAGTGTGAGCAGTCAGTCAGTGAGTGTGAGCAGTCAGTCAGTGGGTGTGAGCAGTCAGTCAGTGGGTGTGAGTGGGTGTGAGCAGTCAGTCAGTGAGTGTGATCAGTCAGTCAGTGGGTGTGAGCAGTCAGTGGGTGTGAGTGGGTGTGAGCAGGCAGTCAGTGGGTGTGAGCGGGTGTGAGCAGTCAGTCAGTGAATGTGAGCAGTCAGTCAGTGGGTGTGAGCGGGTGTGAGCAGTCAGTCAATGAGTGTGAGCAGTCAGTCAGTGGGTGTGAGCGGGTGTGAGCAGTCAGTCAGTGGGTGTGAGTGGGTGTGAGCAGTCAGTCAGTGAGTGTGAGCAGTCAGTCAGTGGGTGTGAGTGGGTGTGAGCAGTCAGTCAGTGAGTGTGAGCAGTCAGTCAGTGGATGTGAGTGAGTGTGAGCAGTCAGTCAGTGAGTGTGAGCAGTCAGTCAGTGGGTGTGAGCGGGTGTGAGCAGTCAGTCAGTGAGTGTGAGCAGTCAGTGAGTGTGAGTGGGTGTGAGCAATCAGTCAGTGGGTGTGAGTGGGTGTGAGCAGTCAGTCAGTGAGTGTGAGCAGTCAGTCTGGGTGTGAGTGAGTGTGAGCAGTCAGTCAGTGGGTGTGAGTGGGTGTGAGCAGTCAGTCAGTGAGTGTGAGCAGTCAGTCAGTGGGTGTGAGTGAGTGTGAGCAGTCAGTCGGTGAGTGTGAACAGTCAGTCAGTGAGTGTGAGTGAGTGTGAGCAGTCAGTCAGTGAGTGGGTGTGAGCAGTCAGTTGGTGTGAGTGAGTGTGAGCAGTCAGTCAGTGGGTGTGAGCAGTCAGTCAGTGAGTATGAGTGAGTGTGAGCAGTCAGTCAGTGGGTGTGAGCAGTCAGTCAGTGGGTGCGAGCAGTCAGTCAGTGAGTGTGAGTGGGTGTGAGCAGTCAGTCAGTGAGTGTGAGAGGGTGTGAGCAGTCAGTCAGTGGGTGTGAGCGGGTGTGAGCAGTCAGTCAGTGAGTGTGAGCAGTCAGTCTGGGTGTGAGTGAGTGTGAGCAGTCAGTCAGTGAGTGTGAGCAGTCAGTCAGTGGGTGTGAGTGGGTGTGAGCAGTCAGTCAGTGAGTGTGAGCAGTCAGTCAGTGGGTGTGAGTGAGTGTGAGCAGTCAGTCGGTGAGTGTGAACAGTCAGTCAGTGAGTGTGAGTGAGTGTGAGCAGTCAGTCAGTGAGTGGGTGTGAGCAGTCAGTTGGTGTCAGTGAGTGTGAGCAGTCAGTCAGTGGGTGTGAGCAGTCAGTCAGTGAGTGTGAGTGAGTGTGAGCAGTCAGTCAGTGGGTGTGAGCAGTCAGTCAGTGAGTATGAGTGAGTGTGAGCAGTCAGTCAGTGGGTGTGAGCAGTCAGTCAGTGGGTGTGAGCAGTCAGTCAGTGAGTGTGAGTGGGTGTGAGCAGTCAGTCAGTGGGTGTGAGCGGGTGTGAGCAGTCAGTCAGTGGGTGTGAGTGGGTCGGGATGTGTGACTCGGGCTCGGGGGCCGCTGGCGGGAGGCCCGGGCCGGGTGCGGCCCGCGGGCTGACGGGGAGGCGGAACGCGGCGTCGCCGGTGACCCCGGGAAGGTTACCGTCCATCCGCTCCCGAGACCTCACCCTCGGCGGCGTCAAGAAGGTGAGAAACACCGAGGCTTCAGCGGGAACTGGGCCCCGACCCTCAGCCTCAGCCCTCAGCCCCGACCCCGGGCCCTCATTATAGTTATTCAGCGTTTCACAGCATTTACTCACTGTAAAGTGTAGTGACTGTGTGGTGTGTGTGTGCTCACTGTGGGCTGTATGTTGAGGCCGTGGAGAGGGTACACAAGAGTTCACTGGAATGATACCGAGGATTAGACATTTTGTTTATAATAATAATAATTCTGGCACTTCCTTCAGCACCGAATCGTGACTCGAGAAGTCTCAAAAGCGCTTCACAGAATACACTGTAATGTGTAGTGAAACGCGACGGCCGATCGCGCAGAGCCGCGTCCCCACAAACAGCCGGGATTGAGTGACCAAATTATTATTTTTTTGAAGAGATTATTACCTCCGAAATTGATCCTCCAGTCGACTAACAACCAGGTTCCTACTGACTGCCGTAACCAGAGGCCATCGTGTGTGTGTGTGTGTGTGTGTGTGGGGTAAGGAAACCTGCCCCAGGTTTTGCCCTGACCCTAACCGCCCGGGTCCTCTCGCTGCGACTCGAGGGCGCTAACCCCTGAGCTACAGGGACTCCACTCCAAGTTGCTGCCTCCACTCTGGTGCTTGGGGGGGGTCAGGGGACTATCAGAAGGGGCGACAAACAGAGCGAGAGAGAAAACCAGAGAGAGAGAGACAAACAGAGAGACCGTGAGACCGATCGACTCCTCAAACGCCACTGAAATAACCCGGGACAGTGGAGAGCGAAGCCAAATATTTATCCCTGATTTGTGCGGTGACTTAATGTGTGATGTTCTTTCTTACAGAAAACCTTCACTCCTAACATCATCAGTCGGAAGGTTAAGGAAGAGTGAGTATTAGTTAGTTGAGTTACCTTTTATTATTATTTATTTGTTTTTTGCCCAGTCAGGTGTCTGACACTCGTGGAAACCCATCACCGTTGCTTAAATAGTCTCCAAACCCAACTGAGAATTCCACGTCTCCTGCCTACTCGTGGAAATCCCAGAGATAGATTGTTGAAATGGAACATGCTCTCTCTCTCTTTCCCTGGACTGACGCATCTTGCTTAGCTAATTCCGAAGAGTAACCCCATATCAAACTGTCTGCTTCCTCCGCTCAGCCTGCTCCACGTCCCCCGCCCAGCCTGCCCCGCCATCGATGGTCGGGCCTTCAGCCTCTCTGCCCTCACCTTTTGGAATCCCATCACACAGTCCCTCCGCCTCTACCCTCCCTTGCCTCCTTCAATACCCAACTCAAGACCCTCCTCTTCGACCATGCCTTTGGTCACCCTCCTACCCCCAATCCTCCCCACCCTCCACCCCTCCTGATCCAAACCCCCAACTCGGCTCCAAATCTCTGACTGTCCAGCACCTTGGGACATGTGAAAGGCACCGTGTAAAGGTGCTGTGGTTGTTGTTGGTGAATCATTTTTCCGGGGGTAATAACTCCTTCCAAAAAAAGATAAAATAATGTGGTCACTCAATCCACAACTGTTTGTGGGGACGCTGCTGTGCGCAATTGGCTGCCGCGTTTCACCCATGAAGTACATAGTCACTACACTTGACATTGTATCCTGTGAAGCGTTTTGAGATGTCTTGATGATGTGTTAAGGTGCTGTATCAAATACAAGGATTATTATTATTTATTTTTAAATGTAATTTGTTGTTGTTGTTGTTGCTGACAGACCGAAAGGGGAGGATGGAGCCCAGCGGAAAGAGAAGAAAGATCGGGAGCGAGATCGACAACGGGATGGGCGAGGACGAGGGAGGGGACGCCCAGAGACCATTCAGTCACACTCCATATTTGAACAGGGACCTGCCGAGACCATGGTGAAGAAGGGTGAGTCAACAACAAAAATATTTCGCCCACAAAATGCACAGTCACTCCACTTTACAATCCTTGCGTTTGATTTTTGTGCCTTATCACGTTGTCGAGACGCATCAAAGGGCTTCACGGGATAGACTGCAAAGTGAATTGACTGTGTTTTGTGGGCGAAATGTGATATAGCTCCCTTTACGCAGAGCAGCGTCTCGGAGCGCTTAAAAGAATTTTGCCCATGAAAAAGTGTGAGCCGGCTTCTGTGTGGGGAACGTGACGTTTCTGTGATATTTCTCCTGTGTTTCGCAGCGGGCTGGAGCTCCACGGTGGAACCTCACGACTTCGGGCCTTCCCCCATCATCAACATCAAGAAGGAGAAGAGGGAGACAGCAGAGGAGACCAAGGAGATCCTCCGCAGGCTGGACAGAGATGATGTGAGTCAGTACGATCCCCCCACCCACCTCAGCCCAGCCCCTTCCTCTTCAGCCCAGCCCCTCCCTTCCTCCCACCCCAGCTCCCCTCCCACTTCACCCTAACCCCTCCCACCTCAGACCAGCCCCTCCCACCTCAGACCAGCCCCTTCCTCCCCAGACCAACCCCTCCCTCTCCCTGAACCCAGCCCCTCCCTCCCACCATCCAGCCCCTCCCTCCCCACAGCTTCCTCCCCAACCCAGACCCTCCCTCCAACCCCAGCCCCTCCCTTCCCCTACCCCTCACTACACATTACAGTGTATGTTGTGAAGTGCTTTGAGACGTCTCGATGCAGATGTGATAAAGCACTGCATCAAAGGCAAACATTCTGTACTTGTTCAGTTTCTCGATGATCCCGGACTGAAGAACGATGCTCGGAACATGCCAGTACAGCTCCCGCTCGCTCAGTCTGGATGGATCTTCCGAGAGGAGGAGCAGGAGGAGGAGAAGGAGAAGGAGGAGGAGAGCCCGAAACCAGCTGCGGCCAAAGAAGAGAAGATGGAGGTGGAACCAACTGATGTCAAAGGTGTGTGGGAGAGAGAGAAAAAAAAACCTGGTAATGATGGCTTGGATGCCCAGACCTGATCCAGATTTTGTCCCAGATTGTGAGTTGCCCCATCCCCCAGAGAATCGAGTTCAAAATCCTCAGCCTTGCCTTCAAAGCCCTCCACGGCCTGGCTCCTCCCCACCTCTGTGACCTGCTATCTCCATATCAACTTGTCCACTCAGCAGGCTCCGGCATGCTCCATGTACCCCACACAACTCGCCCCACCATTGGCGGTCGGGCCTTCAGCGTCTCTGCCCCCACCCTTTGGAACTCCATCCCACAGTCGCTCCGTCTCACCCCCTCCCTAGCCTCCTTCAAGACCCATCTCAAGACTCTCTGCTTCGACCGCATCTTCAGTCACCCTCCTAACCCTGACCCTCCCCGCTCTCCACCCCTCCTGATCCCAAACCCCCAGCTCGGGTTCAAATCCCTGACTGCCCAGCGCCCTGGGACGTCCTCCCAATGTGAAAGGTGCTGCGTAAATATAATGTGTTGTTGTTGTTGCTCACACTGGGGGCTGACAGTGTCACGGGCTGCTGTGCTCCTGTATGTATGAGGGAAAAGCTCAAGTGTGTGCACCAACGAGTGTGGGCACGTGAGAGTGTGTGTGTGCGCGCACGAGAGAGAATGTGTGTGCGCGAGACTGGGTGCATGAGTCAGTGTAAGAGTGAGTGAGTGTGCAATTCCCTGTGTGGTCTATTGCCTCTCTGTCTCTCTCTCTCTCTTGCAGTGAAGGACGAGGCTGCAGAGGAGGCTGGAGTGAGGAAGCTTGCTGGGCAGCCGGAGGATGTATCCCTCTGTGAGCTGCTGCGGGAGCTGAGTTTGGGGCAAGAGGAGGAGCTGCTGTTCCTACAACTGCCAGATACGCTCCCCGGCCAACCCCCCACTCTCGACCACAAGCCCCTCAAAACCGAGGTGCAGACAGAGGATGGGCAGACAGTGTTACTGAAACAGGAGAAGAGCCAGGTGAGGACAGGCTCAGGCTGTTACACTCTTTCCCTCCCTCCGTCTCTCCCGCGCTCTCCCTCCCTCCGTTCCCAGCTGTGCCCTACCGAATCTCTCCTATCACAGTGTGTGAGTTTGTGTAACAGGAGATGTGTATATATGACACTCAGTGTGTGTGTGACAGGAGGCAGCCCAGGCTGAGAACAGTTGCTCACTACGGGATTTGAGTGAGGGGCCAATCGGGAAGCTACTGATCAGGAAATCTGGCCGAGTCCAGCTGGTCCTGGCCAAGGTCACTCTGGACGTCACCAAGGGAACCACCTGCTCCTTCCTGCAGGTATGTGTTTAACTCAATAACAACAACAACGACAGGACCCAGAAAAAAATCTCGGGCAGGGTGAAACCTTAGGCAAGTTTCCTTACTCCACACGACTCTGGCAGATCGCTTTTCTGGGGGTAATAATCTCTTCAGAATAATAATGTGGTCACTCAATCCACATCTGTTTATGGGACACTGCTATGTGCAATTGGCTGCCACATTTCACCCACAAAAATTCACAGTCACTACACTTTACAGTATATTCTGTGAAGCGCTTTGAGATGTCTCAATGACGTGATAAGGAGCTACATCAAATGCAGGGATTTTTTTTGCTAACAACCTGTCCGCTCAGCAGGCTCCAGCCTGCTCCATGTCCCTTGCCCAGCCCTTACCTTCAGCCTCCGCCCCCACCCTCTGGAACTCCATCCCACTATCCCTCCGCCTTGCTCCCTCCCTTGCCTACTTCAAGGTGTGTCTCAAGACCCTCCGCTTCGACTGCACCTTCAGCCCCCTCTTACCCCCACCTGCTCGGGTCCAGATCCCTGACTGTCCATGCTTAAGAATGTCCTCACAAACGTCCTTTTGTATTGCATTGTGTGATTTATTTTTTTGGGGGGGTAATAGCATTCCTTTCTCTCTCTCTCTGTGTAGGAGCTGGTGTCTGTGGGGATCGGGGAGAGCCGCTCAGGGGAGTTGTCAGTGCTGGGACATATACGTCACAAGCTGGTCTGTTCTCCTGACTTTGAGACCCTCTTGGCAGCCAGACAGTAGCGGGAGTGAGGTGTGGCTGTGTGAATGACTGACTGACTGAATGGACCAGAGAGAGAGAGAAAAAACTGTCTCCAGCCTCAGGAACGCAGAGACACTGACAAAGTGACCGACCTCCTATGATGTCGCTGACAGTGATATCAATAGCAAGCTGTGTGGGTTTAGCTGGTTAGACTCCCAAGAGTTACCCCAACGCACACTCTGGGCTCCCCCAAAGCCTTGGCTCTTGCCAACCTGTGCCTGATACTCTCCGGAATTAGGTAAGCGGGGTGCGTCCCTCCTAGGAGAGAGAGAGACAGACAGAGTGCCCATTCCATTCCAACCACCTATCTCTGGGATTGTTTGTTGTAAGTGGGATGCGTGGAATTCTCAGTCGGTTTGGAGACTCTTAAGCAACGGTGATGGGTTTCTGCGTGTGTCAGACACCCAGCTGAAACCCTAAAATAAGGAGGTAATGAACAGATTCTGCTTTTCACTCCTTTTGTCGTTGCTCGCGGATAGCCAGTGGGTAGAAACCTGCGGTGGGTAACAAGCAGAGGAAGTGAGCGGCCCCTATAGCTGATCGTTCCTTATCATCCAGGCAAACAGCCTCTTCCAGCAGCTGAAATTCCACCTGGTTTTCTGTGCAGCAATGCTTGGTATTTCCCTGTTATAATTCCTGTTATTATTATTATAATCCCGCAGAGTCCCTGCATTGGGAAAAAACGCCGGAATCTTAGCCCTCAAGGTGGCTGGTTTTGCCCTCCGCATGGGAGCTCCAGTCTCTTCCGTGTTGCCAGTTCTCTTATGTCAGTTAAGAAGAGATGTTATAGTGTTAAGTTCTGGCTGTGACATTCCCAGTGCCTCGCTGCTGATTGTATTTATTCTTCTGGCCCCGAAGCTGTCAAATAAACTCTTTCCTCATACTGACCGCCCCTTGGTTTCCAAGGGATCGTTAACTGCCATCAATTGTGTTCGATGACAGTCACTACACTAACCACTTGCATTTACACAGCGCCCCTCACCCACGGTAGCATCCCAGAGCGCTTGACAGTGACGGAGCACAACGCCGAGCTGGGAGGAGGTGATGGTAGGCACGGTCGAAGACGAAGGTCCTCAGGTGCGACCTGAAGATGGAAAAAGGGGGCAATGTGGGGGTTAGAGGGAGAATGTTCCAGAGTTTCGGGGCAAAGTGGCTGAAAGCACAGCCATCGCTGGTGGAACGAGGGCATGAGGGCCAAGCAGGAGGCTGGAGCCAGTCGAGCTCACATTATTATTACTGATATTAATTATAACCACAAACAATTGGACAAAAACTTCATACAAGTGAACCACAACAAAGCTATTTGATAGACGTGGCGACTGTCCAATCAGAAGGCTGGGTCTATGAACAAGGCAGCCAATGCCGGAAGGCGGGACTTGGTTGGGTGATTGATACACCTGGTGACCAATGGGAAAGCAGCAATGAGGGCGAGTGGCCAATGACCAGCGGTAGTAAACGGGAAATTGGTACGTGATGGACACACGCGGCGACCAATGAGAAGGTAGCGACGAAACTGGTTATCCAATGAATGATGGTGATGGGTGGGACTTCCTGCGGCTGTGGGCGGGAAGGAGGGCTCGCGACCGACCGACAATTGGCGTCGTTGGCTTCTCAGTGGTTTCTGGTTCCCGGAACCCGGCCTCAGGCCCCAGGGAAGACCGAGGCCCGGCCGCCCGCCGCGAGCAATGGCGAGAAGAATGCTCGGCTTCTTTCTCTTCATCTCCCCGGCCTTCCCCGTCGGGCCGTCGCGGATGGACTTTCACGCCGAGGTGAGGAGTGGTTCGGCCGGCGTCCCGCTCCAGGAAAAGCCAAGGCTTTGCGGGTGGCACTAGGCCGCAGGTTTCAGGGTTGAGAGTGGTTGAGGCCTCAGTGTCATCCAATAATAATAATAATAATCCGTGCGTCTGATACAGCGCCTCATTCACGTCGTCGAGGCGCCTCAAAGCGCTTCACAGGACATATTCACTCACTCAGGTGGTCAGGCAGCAGCTATGCAGAGAGGAAAGTGAGTCAAACGCCACTGGTTCAGGACACTTTGGTCAGACCTCAAACGCTCCTGTGGGCCATGGCCGCCCCACCCGAACGGAGGACTGGTTTCCCTCTCTCTGCAGATCCTGATCCGCGGGTCAGTGTCCCCGGCAACTTCTGTATTTGTTTCAGATTCCTTTTCGTATACTGTGACGTGTAGTGACTGGGTGTTTTTTATGGGCGAAACGCAGCAGCCATTTCCCGCCACCCTCCCCTCCCCCTGCCGGGGGTCAAGGAGGTTGTGGGTTTGACCCTGAGCTCATAGTCCAGGCTGACGCAGGGGTGGGGGAGAGAGACACAGAGAGCGCTGCATTGTCAGAGGCGCTGTCCTTCGGATGAAACGTTTAAACCTCACTCGCTCCCCTCCCCGTTTGTGCCTTGTTCAGGTGGATGTCAAAGATCCCCCACAACACTGTCGGGAAAAGAGAAGGGAATTTCTGTGAATAATAATAATGGAGTCCTGTAGCTCAGTGGTCAGAGCACTCGCCTCGCAAGCGAGAGACCTGGGTTTGATTCTCGTCAGGTCGAAACCTTGAGCAAGTTTCCTTACTCCACATTTCTGATAATTCCTCAAGAAAAAAAAGAAAAAAATAATAATTTGGTCACTTGATCCACGGCTGTTTGTGGGACGCTGCTGTGTGCAATTGGCTACCGCCTTCCGCCCACAAATTTATACAGTCAATTCACTTTACAGTGTATTCTGTGAAGCGTTTTGAGACGTCTCGAAGACGTGAAAAGCGCTATATCAAATGCAAGGATTCTTTTTGTTATTAAAATATTTTGTTAGTATTGATATAGCGCCTTATCACATCGTTGGGATGTCACAACATGCTTCACAGGATACACTGTAAAGTGAATTGACAGTGTATTTTTGGCCGAGACGCTCACAGTGTTCTGCCCACCCTCCCCAGATAAAACCACTCACTCACTTCACTGTTCGTGGAGGGCATTCCTCTGTGCAAATTGGCTGCTGTGTTCGCCCACAAAACACAGAATTGCTACACTGTACTGTAGTCCTGTGAAGAACTTTGAGATGTTGTTATATTCATTATTCTATTTGAAGTGCTACAACAAATGCAGGGAGTATTATTATAAATTGGTATAAGCACTTTGGGACATCCGCCCATATACTAATTAAATTTGTTGTTGTGTAAAGCTACTGCCTAGTTCTGTGGGGGACCTTGCTGTGTGCACAAATGACAACTGCCTGCAATAGTCACCACACACCACAATGATTTCCAGTAAAGCGCTCTGAAATGTTTTGATAAAAATGCAAGGATTGGGCATTGCTGTGTGCAAATTGACTGCTGCATCTGTCTACAAATAATCACTTCCAGCACATCCTGTCAAGTGTTTTGTTGACATAAGACTATAAAATGCAAGGGTTATTATCTTGTCTGCCAAACCCATACTCTCCTGGAGGTTTCTGCACAGGTCCCTGATTTCTCCCCAATTAAAATCTTTTTTGTATAGCTTTTATTTTTATGTCCTCCCTCTACACCCCTCGCGCACATATCTAGAATTGACTACCAAGCTCCTTCCCTATATAGCTTCCTGCCCCAGATTATGTAAACCATTGTCCCTTCAACATTGGTTTCTCTAACTCTGCAATGAACCAATCCCCCATGTTACTCTCCTTATTTTCTGTGAGGAAAATGGTACCTTCAGTCCAATCCAAGGTAATAGGAGTCATGGAGTTCTGGGAACAATATCACAGGAAGGACCTTAATATTACAATAAACCTTGCATTTAATATAGCGCCTTATCAGGACTTCGAGACACCTCAAAGCACTTCAGAGAATATACTGTAAAGCTATTGACTGTATATTTTGTGGGCGAAATGTTACCAAGTTAACCAAAGATTATTGTATAGACTACGTCAACAAGAGGAATTTCCCTCAGAAATACTGCATAAAGTACCCCAGAAACTGTAGGCAAATACCTGCTGAGGGGTACATGTATGTGGTATCTTGTCTGGGTGTTGTAGATGTGATGGGGTATGAATACCTGTCAATCTTCAATGCAATTTTAACAAGTGTCTAACTCTAATCCAGCAGGTGAGGTGGCCCCCTTCACTTGATTATCAGGTGGGGTGGTGATTGAGGTGATCTAAATGAGTTTTTTTTAAATAATAAAGGGATAGGATATGGTATCTGCAGAGAAACTGTTTGCTCTGGTGAGGGACTCTAGAACAAGGGGCATAATCTTAAAATTAGAGCCAGACCATTTAGATGCATATTTTCACACAAAGGCTAGCGGAAATCTGAAACTCTCCCTCCCCCAAAAGGCTGTGGAATATGGCTGATCCATTCATATTTTCAAGACCAAGGTGGATAGATTTTTGTTAGGTCTCAAGTGATATAGGGCAAAGGTGGAGAATTGGAGTTCAGATACAGATCAACCATGATCAGATAGAATGGCGGAATAGGCTCGAGGGGCTGAATGGCCTCCTTCTGTTCCTATGACCCCACAAATACTTATTTCAGCTGTTTTAGCACATTTGTAGCTTTTAATCTCGGATATGATGTGCAGTGTGGCTCAATATGCAGCCTGTGGGGCGGGGAGGCGAGGGCGAATATTTATATTTAGCATAATAAGTGGCTGGCACTGACATCCAGCAGTAATATAATAGTGCTACTGATGATCAATCAACGTCAGCGGAGCCAGGCGGTCAGTTACGGCTCAGACCAGTGCCAGTCACTCACTATTTGTAAATCTAATGGAAGTGCTGTGTGCAGTGTAGATGTAATACAAATGTAAAGGGAGTGGTTTGTTATGAGCTGATTGTACACTGTATCAATACCATCAACAGACATTTGGTACCCAGCTAGCAGGAAGTAGCTGAGAACATCCTAGAAATTACAGTGTAGGGAGGTCATAGAGCCTAAATAGTATTTGATTCTTCAATGCAGATTACTATTCTAATTCTGTGCTCTTTCCCTCTTATACTCTTCCTCTGCAAATGCTGATCAAATGTCCATAGTGCCCCTTACATAAAAAAACATCTCAGAACACTTTGCAGAGATGCTGAGTGATTTGGGGGTGGTGGGGGGAGCAGCTGACTGCAGGTGTTGTTGGAGATATTTATTTTAGGCAGACTTGATTGGATGAATGAATGTTAGTAATAATCCTTGCATTTCATACAGCGCTTTATCACGTCATGAGACGCCTCAAAGCGCTTCACAGGATACAATCCTAAGTGAATCGACTGTACATCTTGTGGGCGAAATGCAGCAGCCAGTTGGGCACAGTGATGTCCCACAAACAGTCGTAGATTGAGTGACTGAATTATTATTATTATGCTGTAATGTATGACTTTTATCCCATTTTAATCTTTTTCAGGCCAAAGAGTTGTGCTTTGGGGTGAACGAGCAGCCTTACTGGTGTGAGACCGGATATTGCTGTGGGGAGACAGAATGCTGTACCTATTACTACGAGCTTTGGTGTAAGTATCTGCAGTTGCGATCACTACACAGGGCGTGGGTCACACATTTCCACACTGAAGCCAGTTAGTTCCCCTGAAGCAGCAGCTTGACATGCCACAGATATTGCCTTGTTTTGAATGTTAGACACTAACCGCTTAATACAGTTTGCTTTGTTCTGGGAGAAAGTTCTTCAACAAAACATCCTGGCTGCCTTATTTTGCAGGTTTTAAAGGAAGTTCTAACTGTAGTACTCTTTCAGATCAGTTAAGTTACAAGATTAGAAGGTTGGTCTTTACTTACACTCCAATGAGCCTCTGCTTCTCCAGGTGTTTCCTATACCCCTCTTCCTTCTCCCTCATGCATGCATTTCCTCTACACTACATTAATGCTTTCTGATTCTGGCAGTGAGTTCCACATTCTTTGATTGCGAGTTTCTTGCGTAGGGTAGCGTCTCAGAGCGCTTAAACGTGGCGGAGCCTGACTCTGAGCCGGGGGAAGGGATGGGAGAAGGGAGGTGACTGTAAGCACGGTTGAAAAGGAAGTTTTTCAGGCGAGACTTGAAAAAGGGGAGAGAGGGGGCAAGGCGGAGGGATTGAGGGAGAGTTTTCCACAGTTTCGGGCATATTGGCTGAAAGTGCCACCTCTAATGGTGGGGCTGAGGATGCGAGGGACAAACAGAAGGCTGGTGCCAGTCGAGCAGCGGCGCCGGGTGGTGGATTGGGGAAGTAGGGAGATGCCAGGACACGATTGAGTGTGAGGTTCTTGAAGTCATGTATCGGACGGTATCTGACATGCGTGTTGCTGTGTTTGCCTGACAGGGTTCTGGCTGGTCTGGACTATAATACTCATGCTGAGTTGCTGCTGTGCTTACCGACACCGGCGAGTGAAACTGCGACTGCAGCAGGAACAGCGACAGCGGGAGATCAGTTTGATGGCCTATCAGGGAGCCAGCACCTACACAACACAACCACTCGACTTACGTGAGTATTCTGTGTCCCGTTCAATGAGTTGGAGAGAGACCATTGAGTCATTTAATGAGAGCAGTCAAGTCAGACATTTCAGCATATATTCCTTATATATGAAGTCCTGTAACTCAACAACAACAAGATTGCATTTATAGAGAGCCTTTCACGTCAGGAGGACGTCCCAAGGGGCTGTACAGTTGGGTCGGGACCCGAGCAGTGGGGAAATGGTCAGGGTGAGGGGAGGGAAGGGAGGGAGCGAGGAGGGGGAAGAGAGTCGAGAGGGGAGCTGAAAGCACGGTGAAAGAGAAAGATCTTGAGACCGGCCTTGAAGGAGGAAAGGGAGGAAGCGGCGAAGGCACTGGGGGATGGAGTTCCAGAGCCTCGGGGCTGAGAGGCTGAAGGCCCGGCCACCGATGGTAGGGCGGTTGGGGCGGGGGGTGTGGAGCAGACCGGAGCCAGAGGAACGGAGGGTACGGGCGGGTAGGTAGGGGGATAGTAGGTCGGAGAGGTAGGAGGGAGCGAGGCCGTGAATGGCCTTGTAGGCGAGGATGAGGATCTTGAAATCGATCTTCTGGGGGATGGGGAGCCAGTGGAGGTGAGCGAGGGTGGGAGTGATGTGGGCGTGGTGTTGGATCGCTTTTCCGGGGGTAATAATCCCTTCTGAAAAAAATTATAATCATAAGTTGGCCACTCAATCAACGACTCTTTATGGGTTATTATTATTTTACATCCCAGTTATAGATTCATAGAATCTTACAATACAGAAGGACGCCATTTGGCCCATCATGCCTATGCCGGCTCTTTGAAAGAGTTGCCCAACTAGTCCCACTCCCCCGCTCTTACCTCATAGCCCTGCAAATTTTCCTTTTCCAGTACGTCTCCCAATTCCCCTTTGAAAGCTACTATCAAATCTGTTCCCGCCACCCTTTGAGGCGGTGCATTGCAGACCCTAACAACTCTCTGGGTAAAAAAAATTCTTGTCTCCCTTCTGGTTCTTTTGCCAATTATCTTAAATCTGTGTCCTCTGGTTACCGACCCACCTACCAGTGGAAACAGTTTCGCCCTATCTACTTTTATCAAAACTTCTCATAATTTTGAACACCTCTAGTAAATCTCCCCTTAACCTAACAATCCCAGCCTCTCTAGTCTCTCCACACAATGTAGTCTCTCATCCTTCATTTACCCCTTTCTGGTGAATCTTCTCCAAGGCCCTTTTTTTACCTCTATTGTCGAATTTTCCTCTTGTTAAATTGATAACTTTACAGAAGTTGCATCACAGTGAAGTTATTAACTGGAGGAACTGAAACTGTTGTCCTCGCAGGAGATATTGCCTCTAATCTAATCTCTAGATACTGACTAATCGGGACGAAGATGTAATGTTTCTAGTTATGGCATTTCTCTACCTCTCCGACCTACTTACCCCCAACCTACTACTCGCTGCCTCCGCTCGTCTGTCTCCGGCTTTCTGCTTGTCCCTATTCCCCTCCGTTCCACCATCAATGGCTGTGCTTTCAGCCACTTCACCGCGAAACTCTGGAACACTCTTCCTCTATCCGTCTGCCTCGCCCCCTCCTTCTCCATCTTCAGGTTGTGCCTGAAGACTTTCCTCTTCGACCACGTCTACGGTCACTCCCCCCCCCCCAGGCTCAGGGTCGTGCTCGGCCACTGTGAAGCGCTCTGGGATGCTGCCCTGTTTGAGGGGCCCTGTGTAAATGCAAGTTTTGTTTTGTTGTTATCGGTTGTTGCTTAAAAATAAAGCTGCGTTCATTCTTTCTCCCGGAAATGCACGTTTTTCCACTAAAACGTCCCAACAATTGCATTTATACAGCGCCCTTCACACGGGATAGCGTCTCGGAGCGTTGCACGACGGTGGGGTTGGATGCTGAGCAAAGGGGGAGGGGAGAGGCCTATAGGCACGGTCAAAGAGGTAGGTCTTCGGGTGGAATTTCAAGATGAATAAAGGATGAGGGGTGAGGTGGAGGGATTGAAGCAGTGAGTTCGAGGTTAAGGTTATATTGATGACACGGCCACTGATGTTCGTGTAGAGGGGCTGGGTGATGTGCAGCAGAGTGATGATGTGGATACAAACAGGTTATTAAAGTGCTGGGTGAGAAGGCATTTGAATGTGAGGGTGAAGATTTTGAAGCCAATCCATGGGGAGACTGGGAGGCAGTGGAGCCTGGCGAGGATTGGGGTGATGGGTGTGTGGAGTCTGGTATGAGTGAGGACGTACGTGAATGGTGCAATTTTGGATGGTGGAGCTGGAGAGACCGGCTTTTAAAAATAAAAAATAAAAAAATTGGTCATTTCAATCCACGACTGTTTGTGGGACGCTGTTGTGTGCAATCGGCTGCCGCGTTCGCCCACAAATATACAGTCAATTCACTTTACAGTCTATTCTGTGAAGCGCTTTGGGACATCGAGAAGACGTGAAAATCGCCATATCAAATGCAATGATTATTATTATACTATTATTTATAGAATTAAGATACAGAAGTCGCTGGGAACACTCAGCAGGTCAGGCAGCATCTCTGGAGAGAGCTGAAATGTTAACTCACTTTCCTCTCTCCATAGATGCTGCCTGACCTGCTGAGTGTTCCCAGCAACTTCTGTTATTATTTCAGATTTCCAGCATCTGCAGTAGTTTGCCCCTTTTGGCTTATAGGAATTATTACTTTGAGGCTTGGTGTTTTTTATAGGAGATTGCTCATTTCCGTGTTGTTAAAAGTACATTTTTTTTTAAACTTTATTTTATTCCCTCAGGATTCTGGACAAACTGTAAGCTTCCAGCCTACGAAGAGGTAGCAGGACACCCACCCACTCCGCCACCTCCTTACTCCGAGTTACAGCAGCAACAGCAGCAGCAGCAAAACACAGTACAGAATAACAGCCGGGACACTGCTGTGGGAGGGAGTCATGAGCAGCTGAGCTCACGGGAAGCTGTGGCGAGTTTGCCGGGTCAAGTGGAGGCAGAGCCAAGACCTCAAACAGAATCCAATTCATTCAGTAGCGATGAACATGAGGCGGAGAGTGGACAGGAACCTGCCACCTGCACTCCAGCCCCAGCCAATTGCTCAGGTGATGAACACGACACAGTTAGTACTCAAGGCGAGGAATCAGATTTACACCCGGCTTCCGATCTGCACAGCTTGGACCTGGATCCCCACATATGTGACCACGGAGAGACCAAGGAAGAGAGCTCCTCCCGACACAGGCGGATCACGGGCGACTCTGGCATTGAGGTGTGTGTGTGCCGCATGGATGAGGACCCCTACCCTGAGGAGGTGGGCCTGATGGGCAGCGTGGCTGCACAGCCGTGCTGCGAGCCCCAGTCCTCGTATAACTCGTCCCCGCAGGACACGGAGCGGGGCTCCAAGCCAACGCTCAACAAGCAGTCTGAACAGTATTGTCCTGGAGAGCAGCCAGAGGATGTGTAACATCGGGTCTCACCATTGCTGGTACCTTCAACAGTGAAGTCAAATGACACGGGGGGCAATTTCTGACCCGTTCAGTTGACCATTTATGGGCTAATTACCTAAGCTTGTTTGCCATTAAAAAAAACCTGCCCCTAATTACAAGAGACAGAAACGCGTTAGGTAGCGTTTCACATTCAGGTTTTCTGCAATATTCTAGCATTTTGAAATTAACCATTAGCACTATTATAATAATATAATACAATACAATACCACGTCTCCAAACCCTTTGTGTTCAGGACTTGAACCTGAGATGCATACCGAGGGTTGCGTTTTTTTTCCCCCCACACCCCACACTGAAACGCTCTCCCTTCACCACGGCCTCCGTTGGGGAAAGGGGTGAGGCTCTTCGTTCAGCTGGTGTGTTTGTCGGTAATGTTCTTACTCTGGTTTCAGGGTGAACACCAGAGCCCCAAGTTGGCTCAATTGACTGCTATTATTCCTTCCATGTATTGGGCAAAGTGCCTCATAACCTTACAGATGGTTTTCCTGGCTAGGCTGAACGCATAGGAATGATAACATCTTAATGCACCTCATCGCTTCACCATTGACCTGTGACACCAAACTGCCTTTCTTCGTCAAATATTCATTTTAACGTTGTTAACCCCAAACTCAAACAGCCTGTCCCTCCCTGGGGCTGCGTCCAGCTCCGACATGCTCTGTGTTCTCTGATGGGGTGACTCATTTTAGACTTCACTGATGCAAAACTAAGCAGCACCTGTTACTAATATGATAACAAAAGTCGCTGGGAACACTCACTCGCTCAGCAGGTCAGGCAACATCTACGGAGATAGGAGAGTGAGTTAATATTTCGAAAAGAATAACTGAAACGTTCACCCACTTGCCTCTCTCCATGGATGCTGCCTGACCCGCTGGTGTTCCCAGCAGCATCTCTTTTCATTTCAGATTTCCAGCATCTGCAGTATTTTGCCTTTTGTTTAGCACCCATTTTCAACTCTCACCCCCACCCACTTCTGGTTTGGATTACGAGATTGTGGACGTGATACTTCGGAAAGAATCCGATGTGATTGTCCGTTTGAAAGAGGAGCTTTCTACAAATGAATGACGTGCTAGTCAGAATCTCATGCCTTCATATCAGTGCAAGTGTTAACGGAGTAGAGCAAAAGCTAAAGCCAGCCTAGGTCAGGGCAGGAGGTACGAAATAGGTACCGTTTAGAGGAGTCTATAAACATGTCTCTTTTGAGATGAGGAGAGTTTGTGGTTTTCCTTTCGCCCGGTTTGAAACGGTCGCACAACCCACTTTTACGACCCTTTTCACAGTTAGCGTAAAGAGTTAAAGCATGTCTTTTTTTCTCCCCCCCCCCCCCCCCCATCATTAATCAGGAGTCGTTCTTAGGCTAAATCATCCTCAACACAAGGGAGATAAGTCGTCTTTTTCTGTAACCGTTCTTTCTGCAATAGTGAATCGTGGTTTATTCGGATGCCTTTTTAATTGAAAACATTTTAATTTTGTAATGTTTTTTGTAGAGGCACCTAGTTAGTGAATGCATGCAATGCGGGGGGTCATAAATACAATGTACCGCCTGTGCTCCTGAGGATTCAGGCACTGCTCAAGTCTTTATAAAACCTTTTTTTTTAAAAAAATGATGGAAATTTCTTGTTTGGGGTCATAAATGGTCAATTTTTGTTCCCTGTAAAAGTTTTGGTGCAGTTTTAGTCAGCGCTTTGTGGGTCTGCAACCGACTGATGTACTTTCCGCTCAGCGATTTGGTGAGGGAGAAACAACAACAAAATTATCTCTGTATAACGCTTTTCACGTCAGGAGGATGTGAACGAGCTCTGTGTCTAGGAATTGACACAGATGTGTAGTTTGACTGTTTGGGGTATTCATCACATCCTTATGTTTGGTACAACGCCTCTCACTTAGGAAAGATAATAGTAATAATCCTTGCATTGGAAATAGCGCCTTATCACGTCTTTGAGATGTCTCAAAAGTGCTTCACAGAATATACTGTAAAGTGAATTGACTATTTTGTGGGCAAAACGCGGCAGCCAAATACGCACAGCAATGTCCCACAAACAGTCCAAATCGGATTGAGTGACCAAATTATCTTATTTTGAAGGAATTATCACCCCCGGTAAAGCGATCTGCCAATCGACTGACAACCAGTTTCTCTAACCTGAGCTGCAGGTCTTGCATTTGGTACAGCGCCTCTCACTTTGGGAAGATGCCTCAAAGCGCTTCACGTGATCTATTGTAAAGTGTGGTGTCTGCTTTCCAGGCAAGAGCACGCAGCAGCCAATTTGCACATAGTAACATCTCACAAACAATCACAAAGTGAGAGGCTGATTTTATTTGGGGATTTGTCGGCCAGGATACAATAAAAATATAATAATCCTTGAATTTGATATAGCGCTTATCATGTCTTCTCGACGTCTCAAAGCGCTTCATGGAATAGACTGTAAAGTGAATTGACTGTATATTTGTGGGTGAAATGCGGCAGCCAATTGCGCACAGCAATGTCCCACAAACAGTCGTGGTTTAAAGTGACCAATTTATTATTTTTTTCTTGAGGGATTATTATTAGGCTCTGTGTGGAGTAAGGAAACTTGCCCGAGGTTTCGCCCTCTGCCGGGAAATGAACTCAGGTCTCTCACTTGCAAAGCGAGTGCTCTAACCACTGAGCTATAGGACTCCACAGCTCATCACCCTGCTAAGATGTCTCTAAGCTAGTTTGTCCCACATGGGGAGGGTGGCGTAACAGCTGCCGATCCCAACCCTCAGAGTGGAAGACAAATCCCTGATTGTCCAGGCGCTCCCGACATGAAAGATGCTGCATTGTTCAAATTCTGCAGGGGTGTGGGGCGAGTGGAACTGACTGGGGTAACTCTTCTAAAAAGCCGTCACAGGCACGATGGGTCGAATGGCCTCCTTCTGTGCTGTAATACTCTACGATTCTATGACTGGTTGGGTCCCTCAGTTGGCTTGGGAGTTAGACATTGGTGTGATGTGCTGTGGCTGAGTGCCCGGTTTGGCAGGTTGGAGGCTGAGCTATTTTAGACGATTCTGAGAACATTAAAAGCCACCAACACGTTAAGCCCACTAACAGGCTTCCAGGTAAAGATCTGCTTAGCTCACCTGATCCGCTATGAGACCTGATCTCCGGAGTGTTAATCCTTTTGAGTGGGGGGAGAGACGGGAGACACAGTATGACATTGACACAAGTACATTCTGGCATTTAACTGACCCTGACAGGTCTGAATTCACTCGTGAGTTATATAATGTCAGCAATCGTCACTCTTGACTTTGCTGCAATCATTATTCCCAGGGCTGGATTAATCAACTAGCCACGGCTTAACCTCTCGTCGCTCTACTACAAGCTTCTACAGCAACGGAGGAGAGGTGTGGTGGGGGGGGACACAGGAAGATTACAACGAGGATGAGGAACAATAATAGTAATATGATAATTCCCGCATTTAATACAGCGCCTTATCACATCTTTGAGACGTCTCAAAGCGCTTCACAAGAATTGACTTGTATATTTTGTGGGTGAAATATGGCAGCGAATTACGAACAGCAGTGTTCCCACAAACGGTGGATTGAGTAATCAAATTTTTTATTTTTGAAGGGATTATTACTCCTGGAAAAGCGGGAGTTAGTACCAGTTAGTAACCGTACTCAGAGACATAGACAATCACACACACAGACTCGCACACAGACACACACACACTCACACGGACACATTCGCACATAGGCGGGCAGGAGGGTCAGGTTGGGGGATTGGGCCGTAGCAGTTCCCCCAGAGTCAGGTGGTCTTTGACCATATCGTGAGGGGCCCTGGACCTCCTGTCCCTGAGGTTCTTCAAGGCTGGATTGTGCTGCAACAAAACCTGGCACACGCTCTCCTCGGCTCGCTCAGCCGCCTGCGGAACAACAGGACGTTCTCATCTACGTGGCCCACATCAGCGCCAACCAACAAGAAGACAATCACGTCATTGGGACTTCGCAAAGCGCTTCACAGGATATACTGGAAGAAGAATAATCCTTCTTGAAGTGTAGTAACTGTATTTTGTGGGAGGAAGGCGGCAGCCAAATTGTGCACAGCAGTGTCTCATAAACTCGTGAATTGAGTGACCAAATTATTATTTAATTTGGAAGGGACTATTAACCACAATCCGCCCATCGATTAACAAGCGGGTCTGTGTGTGTGTGTCTGTGTGTGTGTGTCTGTCTGTGTGTGTGTGTGTGTCTGTCCGTGTGTCTGTCTGTGTGTGTGTGTCTGTCTGTCTGTGTGTGTGTGTCTGTCTGTGTGTGTGTGTCTGTCTGTGTGTGTCTGTGTGTCTGTCTGTGTGTGTGTCTGTCTCTGTGTGTGTGTCTGTCTGTGTGTGTGTGTGTGTCTGTGTGTGTGTCTGTCTGTGTGCGTGTGTCTGTGTGTGTGTGTGTCTGTCTGTGTGTCTGTCTGTGTGTGTGTGTCTGTGTGTGTGTCTGTCTGTGTGTGTGTCTGTCTGTGTGTCTGTGTGTGTGTGTGTCTGTCTGTGTGTGTGTGTCTGTGTGTGTGTCTCTGTGTGTGTGTCTCTGTGTGTGTGTGTGTATCTGTCTGTGTGTGTGTCTGTCTGTGTGTGTCTGTGTGTGTGTGTCTGTGTGTGTGTGTCTGTCTGTGTGTGTCTGTCTGTGTGTCTGTCTGTGTGTGTGTCTGTCTGTGTGTGTGTCTGTGTGTGTGTCTGTCTGTGTGTGTGTCTGTGTGTGTGTGTCTGTCTGTGTGTGTGTGTGTCTGTCTGTGTGTTTGTGTGTGTGTCTGTCTGCGTGTGTGTCTGTGTGTGTGTGTGGAGTAAGGAGTTTTGCCCTGTCCTGACCCGCCTGGGAATTGAACCCGGGTCCTCTCGTTTGCGAGGCGAGGGCTCAAACACTGAGCTAACAAGACTTACCTTGTGTAGGGGGGTCATGCCGTCCTGGTCGGCGATGGTGGGGGCCGCAGAGTGAGTGAGGAGGAGGGTGACAACGGGGAGGTGACCGCAGTAGGCTGCTCGATGCAGGGGGGTCGCTCCCCCTCGGGTCTGGACATTACTGCTCGCCCCTTTGCTCAGCAAATATTCACACAGCTCGTAATCACCTCGGCGGCTCGCGTAATGCTGCGGGGGTTGGGGGGAAGTGGGGGAGAGGGGGTTAACAATGTCAGAGAGACACACGGCGGAGGTGGGGGTGGGGGGAGAGGGTGCGTATTGTGTATATAACCCCCCACCACCCACACACCCCTACTCCCGGCTTCAGGTCCGGGCTGACTCACCAGTGCTGTGTAACCAGACCGGTCGGGCAGATCGGGATCTGTTCCCTTCTCCACGAAATGACGGACTCCGCTCATGTCTCCGGTGTTGGCTGCCGACCAGATACCTGCGGAGAGAGAGAGAGGGGGAGAGGGGGAGAGAGAGGGAGGGAGAGAGAGAGGGGGAGAGGGGGAGAGAGAGGGAGGGAGAGAGAGAGGGGGAGAGGGGGAGAGGGAGAGAGAGAGGGAGGGAGAGGGGGAGAGAGAGAAGGGGGGAGAGAGAGAGAGAGAGGGAGGAGAGAGAGGGGGGGGGTGAGAGAGAGGGGGTGAGAGAGAGAGAGGGGTGAGAGAGGGGGTGAGAGAGAGAGGGGGTGAGAGAGAGAGAGGGGGTGAGAGAGAGGGGGTGAGAGAGAGAGGGGGGGAGAGAGAGGGAGGGAGAGAGGGGGTGAGAGAGAGAGAGGGGGTGAGAGAGAGGGAGAGAGAGAGAGGGGTGGAGAGAGAGAGAGAGAGAGAGGGAGAGAGAGAGAGAGAGAGAGAGAGAGGGGGAGAGAGAGAGGGGGTGAGAGAGAGAGAGAGAGAGAGGGGGAGAGAGAGAGAGACTATTATACTTAGACTTAAACACCACACGGTGGTGGATATTTTTTGGGAGGGATTATCTCCCCCCCATTCGCGCGCAGACACACACACACCTGCGCCCCCATCCCAGTCAGTCACTACAAACAGTCACTACACTACAGTGCACTGCCCCCCCATCACCTACACACAGTTAGTCACTGCACTCAGTCACTACACACACTCACAACTACAGTGTGCGGCCCCGCCCACAAAATCTGCACACACAGACCCCTGGCCAGTCACATTACAGTGCGCGGGCCGAACCCGGCCCGGGGGCCGCCCGCTGACTCACCCCGCTCAAAGTCCATCTCCTCCAGGCTCTGCCGGACACTGCTCGGCCCCGAGCAACAGCCGCAGCCCGAGTGCGGGCCCGGGGAGGCCATGGCCCCGGGGACAGGGAGCAGGAGAGGCCGAGGAGGACGACGGGGAGCCGCGGCCTAGTCTGGGGCGGATCCTCGGCCTCGAGTTGCGGTGCCTCCCAGGGAGGCGGGGCCTGAAGGGGGGGAGGGCCGCTCTCACTCGCTCAACGTTCCTCTATTTGTTCCTTCTCTCCATTTGCACTGAGCAGTGTAGTGACTGTCTGTGTGTGTGTTTGTGTAGGTGTTGTAAGGCAACTGGCGGCCCCCGGGCCAGATGTGGCCCGCACACTGTAGTGTGTGTGGTGACTGGCTGGAATGTGTGTGGGGGGAGGGGCTCTCCATTGCACTGAGCAGTGTAGTGACTTTCTTGTGACTGGCTGGAGGGGGAGGGGAGCAGACGGCAGAGTCTGGAGGAGATGGACTTTGAGATGGGGTGGGTCAGTGGGCGGCCCCAGGACCAAGTTCGGGCCCCCGCACTGTAGTGTGAGTGTAGTGACTGTTCATAGTGACTAGCTGGGCGAGGTGAGGTGTTTGTGGGGGGGTTGGATGGATGTTGGGAGCCGCGCACTATAGTGTAGTGACTGGCTGGAATGCGAATGTGTCCGGGTGCATTCTGGGATGAAACGTTAAACCTCACTCACTCGCTCCCCTCCCCGTCTGTGCCGTTCGAGCAGACATTAAACATCTCCCCGTTGCAAAAGAGAAGGGACGTATTTCTGACGTGAAAAAGCTATAAACAAAGATTGGATTATCGGTGGCCATTATTCTCATGTCAGCCACACTCTCTCTATCTCCTCCCCCCACCTCTATGACCTGCCACAGCCCCCGCCAGTTGACTGGAGCGGTCCCAGCCCATGGGCACTGAGGCCAGTGTTACAACAACAAGATTCCATGTGTATAGCTCTTCACGTTGGGAGGACGTCCCAGCATTTCAGACCTGAGCTGCGGTTGGGGGGGTGGGGGAAGGGGGGTGGTTTATGGCATGGTCGAAGAGGAGGGTCTTGAGGCAGGGCTTGAAGGAGGCGAGGCAGAGTGATTAGGGGATGGAATTCTAGAGATTGGGGGCAGAGAGGCTGAAGGCTCTCCCGCCAATGGTGGGGCGGGTGGGTCGGGGGACGTGGCGCAGGTCAGAGCCGGCTGAGCGGAGGGAGCGGGCGGGTTGGTAGGGGGTTAGGAGGTCGCAGAGGTAGGGTGGGGCGAGGCCATGGAGGGCTTTGTAGGTGAGGACCAGGATCTTGAACTGGATCCTGTGAAGGATAGGGAGGCAGTGGAGTCGGTCGAGAGTGGGGGAGATGGGGTCACGGAGTTTGGTGCGGGAGAGGACACGGGCTGCAGAGTTCTGGATTATCTGCAGCTGTGGAGGGAGGCGTTGGGAAGGCCGACACACAGGCGTTTGCATAGTCGAGTCTGGAGGTGATGAAGGTGATGAACAAGAGTTTCAGTGCCTGAGGGGTGAGGTAGTGGTGGAGTCGGGCGATGTTACGGAGGTGAGGGAAGGCAGAGGGGGTCATGGCTTGAATGTGGGGAAGAAAAGGCAGTTGAGGGTTGAACAAGACCCCCAGGTTCCTGACTGGCGGTGAGTTGGTGAGTTGTAGTGTACACCATGGAGGGTGATGCTGCCGGAGCCTGAGGTGCGGGGGCGCTGGGGGGAGACGATCAGGAGGGCCTCAGTCTTGTTCACATTCAACTGTAGGAAATTTGCCCTCATCCCGGACTTGATGTCCGACAGTCTTTCAGAGTTGGGTGTCATCCGCATACATGTGGGCGTTGACCCCATGTCTGTGGATGATGTCACCGAAGGGGAGCATATAGATATTAACCAGGACAGAGCCCTGAGGGACGCCAGACATGACAGTGTTAGTGCCACAGTCATACTCCATGTTGTGTGAGATGTGCTCTTGTTCAGGACAGCCCAGGATTGGGATGGAGAGAAATCTACACGGACCCCTCAGCCTCTCACACCCAACATGAGGAGTTAATAATAATAATCTCGGCATTTGATACAGCGAATCATCACGTCTTCGTGACGTCTCAAAGCGCTTCACAGAATATACTGTAAAGTGAACTGACTGTTTTGTGGGTGAAACGTGGCAGCCAATTGTGCACAGCAGCGTCTGTCCCACACACAGTCGTGGATTAAAGTGACCAATTTATTATTGTTTTTTTTCTTGAGGGATTATTATCAGGAGTGTGGAGTAAGGAAACTCGCCCAAGGTTTCCCCCTGACCTGACCGGCCGGGAATCGAACCCAGGTCTCTCGCGTGCGAGGCGAGTGCTCTAACCACTGAGCTACAGGACTCCACAAATGATCCAAATAACCAGCCCCCCCCCTCTCTCTCTCCCTCCCTCCCTCCCTCCCTCGCTGGCTCCTGTCACCATGTCTGTCTACTCACCGTTCAGCCCACGCAGAGAGTTTAAAATCAAGGCTTTTATTCAAAATAGTTGAAATATCAGAGCAAACTGCATCCAACTTTACATCGGGCGCCCAATGGGGTCTGTACCCCCCCTCCCCCTCCCCCAAGAAGCGGGTACACAGTGAACACATACCCAACGTGCACAGCAAATATGAGGGGACAAACCATTTCCTCTGTGGGCGGTGGGTCGATAACCGGAGGATTAAAGAGGAGATTTAAGATAATCAGCAAATGAACCAGAGGGGAGGCATTTTTTTGCCCCTCAGTGCCTGTTGCGGGGGGGGGGGGGGAGCGCGGCTGAGCTCCAGGCTGGGGGGGGTTAGTTTAGGGACTGCCCCTCAGTGCCTGTTGCGGGGGGGGGGGGGGGAGCGCGGGAGCGCGGCTGAGCTCCAGGCTGGGGGGGGGGGGTTAGTTTAGGGACTGCCCCTCAGTGCCTGTTGCGGGGGGGGAGCGTGGGAGCGGGGCTGAGCTCCAGGCTGGGGGGGGCTAGTGAGTCCCTGTACTCGATGTACACGTTGCGATGGTGGCCAAACTCAAACTTGATCCTCATTTCCCCGATCTTGGATTTGGGAAGAATGTCCGGGATCCACTCGATGATGAAGGGAGTGGGTTCCTTCTGCTCTGGGGATGTGTTCCCTGCGAACCCACAGTGACAATCATTACAGCAGCAAAACCTCAGGCCCCCTACACTGTCCATCATCTCTGCCTTGCGCCCCCCACCCCCCCGCCTTGGCCCCGGTCCCCTGAACATCCTTCATGTCCTCTGTTCCACCATCAGTAGCCACGCTTTCAGCCGCTACACTCCGAAACTCTGGAACACTCTCTCCCTCAATCCCTCCGCCTCAACCCCTTCCTTCCCCAGCTTCAGGTCACACCTGAAGACCTTCCTCTTCGACCGTGCCTATGGTCACTTCCACCCCCCCCCACCCACAGCTTGTGGTCGTGTTCCCCCACTGATAAGCGCTCTGGGACGCTGCTGTGCACAATTGGCTTTTGGTTTCCCCCACAAAACACAGTCACTACATTTTACAGGACATTTCTGTGAAGCGCTTTGAAACGTCTCAAAGACGTGATCAGGCGCTGTATCGAATGGGAGGATCGTTATTATTTACGACCTTGTGACTTGGGGAGGAGACGGGGATACAGAGACAGCGCATGAACTCACCCACTTTGAGGAAGGTTTTGAGCTCGAGTGGCCGGATGGCGGGGGGCTTTTCCCCGCGGGTGTAGGCGTCCGCGATGCTCTCCACCTGGACCTTCGGGCACTTGAAGAGCTGGTAGGTACCGTCTCGGTTCTCAGTGAAGCTACGGGTCACCTCCAGGGGCATCTGCGGAGCAACGAACACGGACATAACAGCGAGAGAGAGAGCGTCGGCAAAGGTACAGTCCACAAACATACACACACAGTCACTTCGCTGTGAAATGGCTACCAGACAACCGACAACAACAACTTGCATTTACGCAGGGTAGTGTCCCAGAGCGCTTGTAACCATACCCGAACACTCCTAAAACGGTCTCGCTCTAAGGTTAACGGAATAACTGCTGTGCGCAATTGCCTGCCGTGTTTCACCCACAAAACAGTCACGAAACTTTACGGTGTGTCCCATGAAGCGCTTTGAGACGTCTCGAAGACGTAATAAGGCGTTGAGTCAAACGCGAAGGGTTATTATTATTTATTATTGATTAGTGGCGAGTCGGACAAACCTCGGGCGTATCAAAGATCTGTTTGACCTGCAGTACGTTGGTGATCTGCCAGGTGTACTTGGAGAAGGTCCCCAAGGGCAAGGCATCTTTCCGCACAAAACCTGTAAACACAGGACACAGCACAGCCCCCATCACAGCAACTGCACACACCCAACCTGCAGCCTGACACTGACCAGCTTTCAGCCTCAATGTGCGGGCATGTAAACACACTGAAACCCGTCACCGTGAGCAGCCGGGTGTCTGACACACACAAACCCGTCATCGTGATCAGCCAGGTGTCTGACACACTGAAATCCGTCACCGTGACTAGCCGGGTGTCTGACACACATGGAAATCCATGGGGTGGGAAGCTGAGGTCGGAGAGGAATGGTGGGTGACAGAAGTGGATGGGAGGGAACCAGGACAGGAGGAGGTGGGAGGAAGGCTGGGGGAGAAGGGATGGAGGGTGACAGGCAGGCCCACACATACCTGTGGTGGAGTTGGGCAGACGTTTTTTCCTGCTGCCCAGAGAAATCCGCTGCTGGAGACAATCAAAGAAAACCTGAGGCACGTGGAACACCAGCGGCTCCGGCTTCCCTGCAGTAAAACTCCAGTCAGTCACTCACTCAGCGTCTCACACACAGAGTTTCACACAGTAAACTCCAACACAGCATCTTGGGGGCAGCTGAGACAGACCAACACACACGGAAACCCGTCACCGTGACCGGCCAGGTGTCTGACGTACACACACGGAAACCTGTCACCGTGACCGGCCGGGTGTCTGACACACATGGAAACCCCGTTACTGTGCTGACACTCACCATCAAACTGGTAATGCATAGTCTGATTGATGCGTTCGCTCACGCTGGCCAGCCAGTCCTGGAATGTCAGCGTCACCTGCGACTCATCAATGGACTGGTTCCCGGCTGCAACAACACAGTTGACATTGATATTGACCAGTGCCTTTCTCACCCACAGGACCTGGTAGGATTAGCATCTGAGCTCTCACCCTGACACCCATCCCCGTGCTCGCTCGCTCACTCATATTTTCTCTCTCTTGCTCTCACACATAGCAGGGAATGGGGTTAGAGTAGAGAGCTCCAGTAGGGGAGCGAGCACCAGACATGACAGGGAGAGAGAGAGAGAGCAGGGAATGCGGTTAAGAGTAGCGAGCTCAGACCTGGTCTTTTTACTGTGGCGGACACGGACTGCTTCTTGTTACCAGTCTTTCGGAACTTGTTGCTGGTGCTGTCCTGCAGGGTGAGGAGTGGGCTGCTCGCTTCAGGGAGAGGGAAGCAATAAAAAACTTTGATTAGCGTTCAGAGAGAGTCTACATTTAGATAGTTTTTTTTTATCCAGAGAGTTGGCACAGTCTGAAATCCACAGCCTGAGCATGGTGGAAGCAGTTTGGATAGTAGCTTTCAAAAGGGAATTGATCAGGTACTCGATAAGGAAAAATGTGTAGGTCTATCGGGTAAGAGCAAGGGAGTGGGACTAGTTGGTAGCTCTTGCCAGTACAGGCATGATGTGCTGAATGGTCTCCTTCTGTGCTGTTAGATTTTATGAAAAATAATAATCCTTGCATTTGATGCAGCGCCTTATCAAAAACAAAACAAAATGGATTCCGTAAATAAAGATAATCCTTATCAGCGCCTTATCACTTCGTTGAGACGTCTCAAAGCGCTTCATAGAATACACTGTAAAGTGTAGTGACTCTGTAATTTGTGGGCGAAACGTGACAGCCAATTTGCACACAGCAGCTTCCCCACAAACAACAACAACAAGATTACATGTGTAAAGCGCCTTTCACGTCTGGAGGACGTCCCAAGTCGCTGGACAGTGATGGCATTTCAGACCCGAGCTGGGGTCAGGGGAGGGGGGGAGGGGAGGGGGTGGCCGATGGCATGGTTGAAGAAGAGGATCTTGAGGTGGGACTTGAAGGAGGCTAAGGCGAGGCAGAGTGACTGGGGGATGAAATTCCAGAGCTTGGGGGCAGAGTGGCTGAAGGCTCTCCCGCCAATGGTAGATTGAGTGACCAAATTATTATTATTTATTTGAAAACATTATTCCTTCTGAAAAGCGATCCATCAATCGACCAACAACTGGGTTCCTACTTACTGCTGATAAACCGAGGCGTGTGTGTGGAGTGAGGAAACTTGCCTAAGATTTCGTTCTGACCTGCCCTGGAATTGAGTCCAGGTCCTTTCGCTTGCGAGGCGAGAGCTCTAACCTATATACGCTATATACTCCACATATAAATGCAAGTTTTTGTAAGGATTATTACAAAAACTGCTGTATAATTACTGTATTGTATCAGTATTTATTCTGTTAATAATGATTTCACTTCATGATGTATTATGTTGGAGGCTCTGGGATATTAACCCATGTGAAGGGCGCGACATAAATGCAAATTATTGTTCTTGTTGACTTACCTGTCGCCTCCTCCTTTCTCCTCCTCTTGGCTCTGGGACCTGGGACGGCCGCTAGCTGCTCCTGGGGGTAAATGGCCAGTAAATGTCTGTCCGCACTGGGCTGAGGGGCTGCTGAAGGTAAAGCGAGCCGAGGTTAGGGGGCTTCTTCGCCGTGAACTTATCAAATGCTCACACCCTCCGCTCAGTGTTTCAGGTCACGCCTGGAGACCTTCCCCTTCGACCGTCCCTGCAGTCACCCCCTCACCCCACCCCGGCTCCGCGTCATGCTCCACCACTGTCAAGTACTCTGAGACGCTGCTCTGTGTTGTTGTTGTTGCTGAGTGCGAGGATTCAGCCCTTCTAGGTCCTGCCGATGAGCCGGGCTGTGCTGTCATCAGCAGTGAGTGCCCTGGAATACTGCGGACCCTCCTGGCTCAGGAACCGGGGGCTCGAGACCAGCACGGGGCGGGGGGGGGGGGGTGGGTGGGCTCGGTACGGACATTCTGTTCCAACGCATGTCACCATGGAGACTCCGGCTGATCGCGGTGAAGGTTTGGACACGGGTCAGACACCTAAACCCTGGTAACTCAAATCCCTAATGGGGAGGGTGGTCCTAGCTGGACAAACAGTGGGAAAGCTTGCCAGACAGTGATATCAATGGCACGCTATGTGTAATTTATGGGTTTCCATGTGTGTCAGACACCAAAATAAACACTCCTCATTTTCAACAACACATTTTCAACAACACAAACTTTACGGTGTGTCCCATGAAGCGCTTTGAGACGTCTCGAAGACGTAATAAGGCGCTGGGTCAGTAATCTGTTACACAGTGCCTGCCTTTCAAGTCAAGAGGACATCCCAAGGTGCTGGACAGTCAGGGATTTGGGCCTGAGCTGTGAGTTGGGGGTGGAGGCAGGGAGCATGGGGATGTAGGAGGGTGACTGAAAGAGAAAGGTTGCGGTTGGTTTGTGACACTCACCCGGGTTCCTGCACCGATCAGCGGAATCAAAGTTGACAAAGTGTGAGAACTCCTGGCCCAGCTTCTCGTCGCTGGCAAAGGCGCAGACACAGGCGTAGAAGTGGAGGCAGCGTCTGGGCGGGTCCTGACCGCTCGGGCCAGTTCTGCCCGCCCTGAAGGCCTGGCAGGAGCAGTAGAACTTGCGCTCTGTCGCTCCTTTAGTCCTGCTCTTCTCGTGAAAGGAGACGTGCAGAAAGCCCAGGTTGTGCTTCTGACTGGCCTTGCACTTGACCACCATGATGCTCTTGGTGATTCTCTGCACCAGAGGGCCGCTGGACTCCGTGGCTAATGTCCAGATGGCCTGCTTGGTCTCAGCGGGCACCTGGAGCGAGTTCAACACTGAGCTTTTGAGGGTGTGCGGAGTGGCCTCTGCCTGGCACTGGGCAGCCAGCTTGATGTGCTTACATTGGCTGTCAGTGGCCGCATGGGGGGAACCTTTGAAGCATGAGGGGACAAAGCAGCGACCGGTGACATGGGTGAGGAAGCCCCCATCTGTCACGCCCATGCCCTCTGTGGTGCACAGCTCCGCGAAGCCCCTGTAATCCGGACCCCGGTCTCTGAGCCGTACCGAGTAGACCTGCGAGGCCGAACCGGTCACCACGCGCACCGCCTCCACGCTGGGTGGCTGTTTGCGAGCCCCGTCCCTGAACACGGCGTCACAGCTCTTGTTCTTGCAGCTCAGCCCCCGAGTCCCGTTGAAGGTCCCGCACTTGGGGCACTTCTTGATGCCCCGCAGGGTGGGTTTCCCCAGGTCGGCCAGGAAGGCTGGAGTTTTTGTCCGTTCCGGGTGCTGCTCCATTTCTCTCTCCCTCTCAGGTCCAGTGATGTCGTCTCTCTCAGTCAGATCGCACGCTGGGAGAGAGAAGGGAAGAGAGGGAGTGAAAAGGAAGGAGAGATTAATGGGGTGAGAGAGGGAAAGATGGAGAGGGAGAGGGACGGGGAGAGAGAGAGGGGGGCGGGAGAGGGGAGGGGTTAGAGTGGGAGGGGGGAGAGGAAGGAAGAGAGAGGGAAAGGGAGGGGGCGAGAAAGGGAGAGCGAGAGGAAGAGGGGAGAGGGGTTAGAGGGAAAGCAAGCGGGAAGAGAGGGAAAGGGAGGGGGGAGAGAGAGAGAGAGAGGAAAGAGTGAGGGAACAGGAGGGAAAAGAGAGAAAGAGGGAAGAAAGAGGGGGAGAGAAGAGATGGAGAGGGAGAGAAAGAGGGAGGGAATCAAGCTTATTAAACAAGCGAAACTGGTCGGAAAACAAAGAATTAGTGAAGTGACTGTATCACGGACTCCCGTCTGTGGCCATTTCCTGTTTGGATAACTCAGCCACAGCTTGTCCCTTCCACCAACTGGAGCACTCCAAGAGACTGCCCTGTGCAAGTTGTTGTTGCCTTGCTTTTTGATCGCACTTACGATCACCTCGCCCCCTCCCTCTCTCCCTGGCTCGGGGTCAGACTCCGCCACTGTCAAGCGCTTCGGGACCCTACCCCAAGCGAAGGGCGTTATATAATATATAAATAATTTATTATTGCTATATAAATGCAAGTTGCTGTGGTTGTCAAGCAATTGGCTGCCGCGTTTTGCCCACAAAACACACAAGTCACTGCACTTTACATTGTGTCCTGTGAAGCGCTTTGAGACGTTTCAAAGACGTGATGAGGCCCCGTGTCAAATGCAAGGATTATTAATATCAGTATTATTCACTATTATTAATATCAGGAGTATTATTAGATCGAATGTAAGGATTATTATTATTGTTATTATTATCAGCATCTTGGGACGTCCTCTATAACGCCATGATAGGCGCTATACAAGTGTAATCTGGTTGTTGTTGTCAGCACTCTCCACTGAACAGCAGTCACTACACAGCTGTTTGCAGGGACATTGGCTGCTGCTTTCGCCTACAAAATGCAGTCACTACACTTCGTAGCGTGTCCTATAAAGAGACATCCTCCTGATGTAAACGGCATCACATTCAAAGATTGCATTTATTGTATCAAGACATTTTATAGGCTCGTTTTTGTGTTATTACATGGACTGCAAGGATTATTATCAGATTATTTGAATGGTTATGATGAGCCATTGTATGATTATATATATTTATAATCTATGTGAAGGGCACTGTATTATTGACTGTATTTTGTAGCCAAACCATCAAACCATTGAAGTTGACAGTTTAAATCATTGATTTGTTCAGAACGTGGTCAGTTATGCAGTAAGGGGCGCTGTGGCCTTCATAATAATACTTCTTAAATGAATAATTATTACTAGCAGTAATAATAATAATACTTGCGGTAGCTGTGACTGCCCTCATTGTGCAAAGGAAACCTCAAATTGCTGTTAGTTTTGACGTTGCTGTGTTGCTCCAGAAAGAGCTCAGGCATTGTCTTAAATTCTTCACAACCAGTTTTCAAGATTGCTGCTAATTTTTCAGACGGGAATTTGAACAATTTTTGTGGGTTTGTGACAAACACGAAAAGGACAATTTTTAAAAACAATTTCAAGCGCCTTAAACTCCGCACCTCCGATCAGTGGAACCATCGCTCAATGGGAAGATACGTGTGACGGAGCTGTGGACAGGATGATGGTGGCAATGCTCTTGTGCATTCTCATCCTGGGCTGTGTTGCCCACCAGGAAGCTGGAGTGAAGGTGGCCGTAGTCAAACACAGGCAAGGAGGGGGGAGTGTGGAGGGATTATTAATCATAATAATAATCAATATATTTATACAAGAGCCTTTCATGTCTGGAGGATGTCTCAAAACACATCACTGGATTCACTGTAAAGTAATAATAATAATCCTTGCATTTGATATAGCGCCTTATCACGTCTTCGAGACTTCACGTCTCAAAGCACTTCATAGGATATTCTGTTAAGTGAATTCACCATATTATTTTGTGAGCGAAACGCACAATATAAAAAATATAAAAGTGTAGTGACTGTGTGTTTTGTAGGTGAACGCAGCAGCTAATTTGCACACACATCCCTCTACTGGCGAGGCTGACACACACACTGTGCCAAACACACACATACACACTGTGCCAGACACACACATACTGAGCCAGATACACGCACAGAGCCAGACACACACACGGATACTGACTCACACACACACTGAGCCAGACACACACACACACTGACTTACACACACACACACACTGACTCACACACACACACACTGACTCACACACACGCACACTGAGCCACACACACACACACACTGACTTACACACACACACACACTGACTCACACACACACACACTGACACACACACACACTGACACACACACACTGAGACACACACACACACACTGACACACACTGACTCACACACACTGACAACACACACTGACTCACACAAACACACACTGACACACACACACACACTGACTCACACACACACACTGACTCACACACACACCACACACACACTGACACACACACACACACACACTGACACACACACACATGGACACACACATACACACACACACTGACTCACACACACACTGACACACACACACACTGACACACACACACACTGACACACACACACACACACTGACACACACACACTGACACACACACACACACACTGACTCACACACACACTGACACACACACACTGACTCACACACACACTGACACACACACACACACACTGACTCACACACACACTGACACACACACACACTCACACACACACACACTGACTCACACACACACTGACACACACACACACACAGAGCCAGTGATTGACAGCAGCCCAGCTCCACCCACCACATGTCCCGCCCCCTCCATCTCCCCATTGGCTGACATCAGTGACTGACGCGCATTGGCGGCCGCTGATTGGCTATGGCGACCGCCACTGAGCTCGATACCGCCTCCCCCGGCCACAATTTATATAAAAAGCCCGTAGATTGGCCTGGGTCCTCCCCACTGCCGCATTTTCCCGCGTCTCTACCTTCACCTCGTCACCGAATGGCGCCGCTCTGAGTGCCCGTGTCACCGGGAGACCGAGGCCCGGGATTCTCAGTGCCGCGCTCCTGTCACACTCGTCGCCATTGCTCCTCGCACCGCCGTCCCGCACCCGCGCTGTAACGCCTGCTCCTATTGGCCGCCTGCTGATCAGCTGGTGCCGCCGAGCATGCCGGGAGATGTAGTCCACTCGGCGGCCTACGCCTGCGCACAGAATGCTTCGGACTCACCGGTTGAGAGGCACTACATTTCCCAGGGCGCTCCGGGACGCCTCACGTGTAGAGCACGCACTAACTACTGTACATTTATTTATACAGTAATAATAAACCTTACATTTGATATAGGACCTTATCACGTCTTTGCGACGTCGCCTACAAAACACACAGTCACTCCACTTTACAATATATCCTTGAATCCTCTTGAAGACACTATAAGGCTTTATATCAAATGCAAGGTTTATTATTATTATAATTTGTAAGTCAAATCCAGAGACACATATTAACAAAACTGAACTCACCTCAATTCCTGACTCCGGCAACACTGGAGAAACTTGTTGGATTAATTAATGGCTGTGTTTCTCTGATGAGAGTATGTTTTAGAATTTTATTGTTTGTTGCTGAACTCAAGACAAAACAAATTTGTCCAGGGACACATTGCCTCATCTGGGGACTGTCCCCAGAGATCAGGGCTGTATGGTCACCATAAGACCTACTTGATCAATTGTTCTTTCAGCATTCACATTCACACACTCACAGCTCAGGTTGTCACACAGTTGTGTAAAGCGCTTTGATACATCCTCCTGTCCTGAAAGTCTTGGTATAAATTTATATAAAATTCGAGATTGCTCTTAATGTGCTCGAGATAATAATTACCTCTGGATCTACTCTTCAGTGCAGGATAAAACAGCTTATCATGGTCGACATTATCTTGTCCCTTTAGAATCTTAGATTGCAATCATATTACTCATCCTCTAATGACGTTTCAATGCGATGCACTGCTGCAATGCACCATCCTTTGGATGAGACTCATCTGTCCCTGGTCAGTTGCGACGTTAAGGATCCTACAGCATGTCTTGAAAAGCGAAGGAAGTCTCTCTTTCCTGGTGTCCTGGCCGACAATCTCCAAAATAAAAATTGGTCATTCACTCCATTGCTGTTTATGAGGCACTGCTGTGTGCAAATAGGCTGCTTCGTCCATCTACAAAATGCACAGTCACGACACTTTGCAGTCAATCCTGTGATGTGCTTTGAGACTGTGGTACTTCATGTGAACATCAAATGTAAGGATTATTATGAGGCATGGTCGAATAGGAGAATCTTCAGGCCCGACCTGAAGATGGGGAAGAAGTGGGGGAGATGATGCGGAGGGATAGAGGGAGAGTCTTCCAGAGTTTTGGGATGCAGTGGCTGAAAGCGCGGCCACCAATGTTGGAGTGGAGGGCATGAGGGACAAAAAAGGAAACCGGAGCCAGCTGAGTGGAGGCAGCGGGTTGGGCGGTAAACAGGAGAAAGAAAAAAAGACAAATGTCAAGCGGTATTAATTAGTTCCCGGAACGGCAATTAAAGCCAAATAAAAGGAGCTCAGTACGATGGCCCAACGACCGTTTTATTTGAGACCATTAATAACTGCTACAGGTTTTAATACCAACAAGGCCGTGCAGTTAACAAATGCAAGTCAATCAGTCCTTCACAAAACCTGGTTCACGGGAGTTATACCTGGAACAGGTTCCCCTGAGGTGAAGGTTTCAAACGCTGATGCAGTTTTGAGAGATTTGAATGAACAATCCCTTTTTTTCGTCCAGCCCTGTTTCGTCTGCTAATCATTTCCGCTTTCCGCTGATCAAAAACACGCACTGTGGACACTTATCCTTCAACATCTAATGACTCTGAGTCAGGCTGTTGTCTGTTGATTCTCCAAATCTCTCTCTCTCTTTCTCTCAACACCATTTCCCTTCCCCCACATACCCAACTGACAAAAAAGACACAGGGTAACACAATTCAACACAGACATTTTCAGACAGAAGCAGCATTAACCTATAACAGAACACTGCAATGCTGGTGCTCTCTCCATTCCACCATCTGCAGGATATGTAGAACATACGCTCCTGTGGGTGTTTTGTTGGGGGAGGTGGGTGAGTGTGTGGGTAGTTAGAAGAGAGAAGAAAGGAGGTTTAAGTAACGATACACACTTGGAATAAGTACTCCCGATATTTAGAAACAGTTTCTCTCGGTTTTCTCCTACTATTGAACGCTGACTGCAGCTCGACCCAACATGGGGATAGAGGTAAATTTATATTATGTAAATATAATAATAATCCTTGCATTGGATACAACGCCTTATCAAGTCTCAAAGCCCTTCACAGGATGCACTGTAAAGTGAACTGACTGTATATTTTGTGAAACCCAGCAGCCAATTGCGCACACCAGCGTCCCCACAAACAGTCGTGGAGTGAAGTGACCAATTTAATATTATTATTTTTTTCATGAAGGATAAGTGAAGGAATCGCCAAGTGGATTGACATTGTGGTTTTAAAGCACCAGCCCTTCTCTTGTAGAGGTATGCTGTCCCCAGTGTTTACCACTTCAGTACGTTTAGAAACACCACAAGCGATCAAAACACAGCCCCAAGTGTACCTTTCACTGCATCAGTCCACTACAGACCCAACATCCTTGAACTCCCACCCGAGGGCTGTCACAGCCACCTAATGATGGTAACTCAAGGTGATCTATTACAGGAATAAAATTGCACTAAAAGTAAAATTGGTTCAATGTCTATTTTAGCAAAACGTGTAGTCTGAAGGTCCAAATCCCTGACTGTCCAGCACCTTGGGACGTCCTCCCGACGAGAAAGGTGTTATACAAATGTAATTTTGTATTGTATCTAGAGCAAACTGGAATGCTCGCTAACCTTCTGTTCGCTTCAAGCATATCACATTTGGATTTACTGTTGTAACATCGAGGGCGAGAGAGAGAGAGAGAGATGGTGTAAGAGAGAGAGAACTTAATACAAGAATTTTCTAGAATTTCTTGTGAAAGAAGACCAAGGTCCATCCAGTTCACCTTCCACCTTCCTGGCAGTCGTATGTCATGTTCCAAACTATATACTGTATCCCCAAGATATTATTACCGAACAGAAATCGATCTAATTTGTTCTCGAAAGAATCAACACATTCTGCTTCCACTGTCTGTCTCCCGCAGGAGCCTGTTTCATTACCACTCGCTCATTGAAGCAGTGTTTCCGCAGATTGGTTCTGAATTTACCACCCCCCCACTTCAATCTCTCTGGTTCTGTAATTAAGTACCAGATAAAAGATAGAGATAGAGAGAAATGGTCATATCCTGTACCGAGAGTACAGCAGCAATGCCATGCAAATATAGCCAGCAAACATTAGTTATTTTGTCCACTCTTATCCGCAAGTCAGGAAAATTGGCATACCCTCACTTGACCCTTTTGAGCATTAAATCCAGGCACTTGACAATCACATTTAAGACGATAGATAGAGAGCCAAGAGATCCTGTGAGTTAGTTTTATAATCTTTCCCAGCAGCTAATGGGACTATTAAACACATCATGCTGTCTGGGCGACAGTCAATCAGAAGGTAACTATTATGGATTCCCCTTGCAAAGAGCCTTTGAAAGCAAATGTACAACTGATGTGTAGTTAAAATACTTACAGAATCACTTTTTACTCAAATGCAGCTATTTTCGCGAGCATAGCTGCTGACCTTAACCTAGTTTTTAAAAAAAGATTACATTGTGAACTCCCTTTTTAAGAGACGAATCAAGAGTATTTTTTCAAACTTGTTATATTATATTATTATATATATATAAAAAAATCTTTTTCCAAGTGTTGCAAATGGCAGACAGGGAAGATTGATCGGGAACAACACGGATAGCCGTTCCTCCATCCCAAAGCAACTGAACCGTCTGATCACGCAGCTAGTTCAGTAACCGCTGGACTAGCCAAAGCTTTAGTCCCAAATTCAACAGGATGTTTCTGCTTAAAACCCCCATGTTATTTCAGCTGGCTGCACATAATATCCCCATTGATAAACTCCCGTAGACACTGCATGTCCGTCCTTTTGCTTACGTTGGGTTTATTTACGAGCTAAACCTCACTGGTAGGTCAGTGACAGTGAACTCGCTTTCTATCACCAGCCTCTTGAAAAATGATCCCAAATTAAAAAATATATGTAGTCCCCCCCGAAGTGGAGGAGAAAAAAAACACCCATAAAAATAGCCGTGTGTTAAATAAAAGGTGACGTTTGCGTGGATTTTAATGACCTTGACACGCAAACCGCAGAGTCCAGGAACAGAGAGTGTGATTCTTAATAATAATAATCCTTGCATCACATCTTCGAGACGTCTTCACAGGATACACTGTAAAGTGAATTGACTGTATGTTTGAGGGCGAAACGCAACAGCCAATTGCGCACAGCAACGTCCCCACAAACAGTCATGGATTGAGTGACCACATTTATTTTGAGGGATTATTACTCCCGGAAAAGCGATCCGCCAATCAACTTACAACTGGGTTCCTACTTACTGCTGGTAAACAGAGGCATATGTGTGGAGTAAGGAAACTTGCCCAACATTTCGCCCTGCCTGGGATTCGAACCTTGCGAGGCGAGTGCTTGAACCACTGAGCTACAGGACTCCACAACATCACCCGTCAGGAACTTTCCTAGCCTGTCGTGTGTGGGTCTGTCTGACCCGAATGGTGTCCAGTTCTGCTTTGCCAGCCAGTAGCTACAGATGCTTCAGTGAAAGATTCAGAAACAAAGCAAGGAATGAGAGTGAATTTGAAAGTAATAAAACAATACAGGAATGACTGACTGCGGATTTGGGAGCAGACACGCGGCCCTACCTAGGAACAGGAGGAGGCCATTCAGCCGCTCAAGCCTATTTCGCCACTCTATTAGCACGCGGCTGATCGGTAGTTTGCTCTGGGGCAGAGGGCAGCGACCTTACAATCTGTTTGCCATCCTACAGATGATTTGACGTGCTTCAGGTAAGAATCAGGCCTTCTGGAATCTAAAACCCCCTCCCACCCTCAGAAGTGCTTTTCTCTACATCATTGCATGTTTACTCAGTTACTTTAATGAATTGATTAAAATGCTATTCCCAAAAAAAAGGAACAAAAAAAACACAGAAATAAACAGTTGATTATTAGTAATCTTTCGTCACCTTTAAATTACGGTCGGTACATACATGCTTGTGAGTTTTAAGTCAATACCGCTGTTATGTTTTTGAAGGATCTTTCCGAGTCATCTCCTCCTACATTTACAAAGTATGGCCTTGTTTGTACGCGATAGAAAGCCGGAAAACATATTTGAGTTATTCAAATTATTATTTTTTTTACAGTTTTTTTAAAATCAAATCGGCGGAATGCAAAAAAAACCTCAACTGTTTATCCCCAAGTATTGGTTTAGAAATAAACACTCCCGTTTAATAATATTGTGCAATTTCTCCACCTCATTTTTTTAAATATAAAAGTGTTAGAGAGTTTAGAAATCCCTGCTTTATGCTGTTTTGTTTTTTTTTCTCTCCGAATGGGGCGTTCTAGAAATAGACTCTTGTAAATTTTATTTCCTTTTTAAACATCTCAGAAAAAGCGGACACAGAAAAAATTGGCATTTCGACCCCCACCCCCTTAACTACCCCCACACCCGATCTCCCTCCCCCCATGACAGAGAGGAGAAGTTTGGATACGATTTCTCATGATTTTTTTTTTAAATGAACTATTTTTCCTTTTTTAAAATAAATACAATTGCAAGTTGACATCTACCTTTCATTGATCCGTCTTCAGAGTGTGGGGGTGGGTGGGTGGGGAGGGGCGCGAGAGAAAGAAATCATCTTAAGTAAACAAAGGGTTGATGTGTCCTCTGGTGGCAGGAGAGAGAGAGAGAGTGTGAGAGTGAGAGAAAGAGTCTTTTTTCGCTCACTGGGTTTGGTAACCTGTCATTCCAAAGCCGGCTTGGTTGGCTAACACACTGGGACTCTGACCTTGAGGAGGCTGCACTCCATAGTTTGCACCCATCCAGGCAGCTGTGGACTGAGGCTGTCTGCAAGAGGCAAACACAAAGAATTAGGGAGAAATAAACAAAACAAGTTTACTTTTTAATCGATCAATCGATAAAAAGTAAATTTATCTAAATTTATAAAAAGTAAATCTAACTATCTGTCTGTCTGTCTGTGTCTGTCTGTCTATCTAGTTACTTATTTATATCTTTGTTTGTTTTTTTCACTCCCACTGCTGTGCTTGAGAAAGCTTTCCACCCATTCATCACACTTGTCGGCCTCCCCAACTCTTCCCCTCACAGGCTGCAGATCATCCAGAAATCTGGAGCTTGCGTCCTCTCCCGCACCAGGCTCCATAACCCCATCACCCCCACCCTCACCAGCCCGGCTCAACTGGATCCTCACCTCCCAGAGAATTGAGTTCAAAATCCTCAAAGCCCTCCACAGCCTTGCTCCCCTCTACCTCTGTGACCTGTTCCATGTCCCCCACACAGCTCGCCTTGCCATTGGCAGTAGGACCTTCAGCCTCTCTGCCCCCACCCTTTGGACCTCCATCCCACCTTCCCTTCACTTTACCCCTCCCTTGCCACCTTCCTAGCCCCAGCCTCCCCCGCCCTCCTCCCCTCCTGATCCCAGCCACCAGCTTGGCTGCGGATCCCTGACTGTCCAGGGCCTTGGGACGTCCTCCTGATGTGAAAGGTGCCGCGTAAATGTCATGTGTTGTTGTTATTGATTTTAGCTCGTCAAACAGAAAGCCTGCACCTCCCTCCCCAAGTGACTGATGGAGAGAAAGGTTGCTTACTCCATTCTGAATCCTTGTTGGTTCCAAGCTTGCCCGTAAACTCCGTACGGAGGCATTTGCCAACCATTGGGCATGTACTGGCCGAACTGCTGGGCATTCCCGTACCACTGGCCAAACTGGCCCCAGGGCTGAGCGTAACCCATCTGGCTTTGCTGCAAAACAAGTAGTAGTTTGCTCTGTAATTCTCACCTCACCGAGAGTCGCTGTGACATTAGACCAGGCCAAAAAGAAGCTTGGCTGACTTTCTCCCAGAACAAACTTTTTGCAGGAGCTTGTTCTGGGAGACCATCAGATGCAAGTAATAATAATAATCCTTGCATTTGATACAGTGCCTTATGATGTCTTCAAGACATCTCAAAGCACTTCAGGATGCACTGTAAAGTGTAGTGACTGTATATTTTGTGGGTGAAACATGGCAGCCAATTGCGAACAGCAGTGTCCCAACAAATAGTGACCAAATTTGTGTGACCAAATTATTATTATTTATTTTGAAGGGATTATTACCCCCAGAAAAGCGATCCACCAATTTACTAACAACCGGGTTCTTACTCACTGTTAGGTAAACAGAGGTGTGTGTGTGTAAGAAGGAAACTTGCCCAACGTTTCGCCCTGACCCACCCAGGAATCGAACCAGGTCCTCTTGCTTGCGAGGCGAGTGCTCTAACCATTGGGCTAAAGGGACTCCATAAAACTACCCCTTCTTCGCTGCTTACCTGTTGAAACTGGCCCATCCCATCAGGTGTCTCCTTGCCCCAATAGCATTTGACCACATGTCCCTCTATGGTGGTTCCGTTGACTGAGACTATGGCATGTGCAGCACTTTCGTGTGAGGAGAAACTAAAAGAGCGGAAAAAAAAGGTTTCCGTAAATAATGATAATCCTCACATTTGATACAGCGCCTTATCACTTTGATAAGACCTCTCAAAGTGCTTCACAGAATATACTGTAAAGTGGAATGAGTGTATATTTTGTGGGTGAAACCCGGTAGCTAAATACGCACAGCATAACCCATCTAGCTTCACCCACAAAATATACAGTCCCTCCAACAAACAGTCCAAATTGGATTGAGTGACCAAATTATTTTTATACACATGCATGAGAAGAATGAAAATGTAGGGAGGAAGGGGAAGCATATCTGACTACTGAATACATGTCCAATCAGTCTGACTTGCTCCTGCAGTAGCAACTGTTCACATTCAATACGCACACAGAACACACAATGCACACACACACAAACACACACACCACATACCAGACACACACATACACCACATACAACACACACCGCAAACACACACACACACGCACGCGCGCTCCAGAACTAAATACATACCGTACAAAGGAATAACCTTTCTCGGGAAACACTCTGATCTCCATAATCTGTCCGAATGGTGAGAAAGTCTGACGCATAAGTTGTTCTGTGTAATTACAGAAAAAGACACCGCATGACATCATAAATACCACCATCGGGGGCCGCGCTTCCAGCCACTATGCCCCCGAAGCTTTGGGGCTCTCTCCCTCGATCCCTCCGCCTCGCCCCCTCCTTCCCGCTTTCAGATCGCGACAGAAAACCACCCTCACCGGCCTCCTTCCCTCCCCACCGGCTCGGGGCACCGGGCTCCGCCGCGGTTAAGCGCTCCGAGTCACTGCCCCGCTGAAGGGCGCTGCGTAAATACAAGTTGCTGTTGTATTAGGAAGTCACTGGGAATTTCTCCCGCAATATCATAAACACCCAGGTAAGGCTTGAACATCAGACATGCGATTACCTGTGAGTCCTACTGCTATACCACCGCAATACACTGTACAGTTACTGGGGCTAGACTGATTCACCACTTCCTCATAGGATAGCTGTTTGGTATTTGCTGCACAGAGAGACAGACAGAGAGAGAGAGAGAGAGAGAGAACACACAGGTTACTAACCCACAGCCAAAGGGTTATCATTCAGCAACAACATGAATCCTTCGATTTACACAGCCCTTAAGACACTTAAAGACCGATACTTTTCGACTGTGCCCTCGGTCATTTTCCCTCCTTCCCTCTTACTTTCCACCCACACCTTTCTCCCCCACCTCTCTCTGATTCTAACACCCAGCTCAGATACAAACTCTCATTGTCCAGCGCTTGGGACGCCCTCCCGACGTGAAAAGCGCTGTGTTAGCGCAATTTGTTGTTGTTGTCTTGAGACAGACCTTGAACTGGGTGGGTGGGGGGAGGGGGAGAGAGTCAAAGGGACCCCAAGATGGAGTTCCAAAAAGCAGAGACAATGATATGTAATAATAATCCTTGCATTTGATACAGCGCCTTATCCTGTCTTCCAGACATCTCAAAGCGCTTCACAGGATACACCGTAAAGTGCACTGATCATGTATTTTGTGGGCAAAATGTCCACTGATGGTGGGGCAGATAGGTGGAGGGACATGAAGCAGGCCAGTAGGAAAACTAGTGGGGCGGCGGGGAGGGGAGGTGGTCATAGCCTTCATTCTGAGATTTTGGAGCTGAAACCCGGACTTTGGAGTCCCGAGTAAAAGCGCACTCGGCACCACTGCCACGGAACTTACGCTCTGATGCACTCTTTGGGGCGGGAGGCTTGCGTGTTGCCCAGTTTGTACGGATTTGTCTCCCTCCGAGCCATTGGCCTCCCATCTGCTGAATGGCATTTTCGGCATCCTAAGGTACAAAATAACAGAATGATAATAATCCTGGCATTCAATACAGCGCCTCATCACATCTTCGAGGCATCTCAAAGTGCTTCACAGGATACACTGCAAAGTGTAGTGACTGTGTATTTTGTGGACGAAATACGGCAGCCAATTGCGCACAGCAGTGTCCCCACAAACATCACTGATTGAACCCCAGTCTGAGGGGAACACTTTGAAACATGACTTAGCCAAGAGTGATTCTATGAATATAATGCGATCGAAACCCACTCACCCATTTATTGTAGAAGGATACAAAACCATAGCCTTTAGATTTTCCAGTTGCCAAGTCTTTGACCACTCTGGCGTCACTACAACAGAAATAAAGGCAGAGCCAATGAACAACCACGTTTCTTGTTGGGCACAAGAGTACTGCAGAGAAAAAACACAGGAAAACACACGCACACACACGGACACACACACACACTTTGCATCGCCTCTCACCTTTGATAAAGGGACCACTAATTGCAAGAATACCCTATTCTAGAAAGCACCCTCTCTCCCTCACCACCTCAGACGTACTAGCTCGATCTGCTAGTGTGGTCTCTCTCTCACACACACACACACACACACAAACACACATACAGTTTACTTTAAGATGGTCAAAAACATGCAAAACTCTAGCTGATCTGAACTGGCTATCAAGCAGTTTAGAAAAGGTAATTTTTTAAAAAAAAAGCTGAATCAAATGTTTTGAAATATTTATTAAAATGCTCATTAGGACATGGTCAATGCTGGGGGCAGGGAATCCTTCCTCTCAGTTCCTGTTAACCCTGCAGCCAAAGCCCTAACGGATAGGGTGGCCCGAGCTGGACAAGCAGCGGGAAAGCTTGGCCAGACAGTGATAACAATGGCAAGCTATGTGGGTTTAGCTGGTTAGACACCAGCAGTTACCACAACGCACATTCTGGGCTTCCCCCAAGCCTTGGCTCTTGCCAACCTGCGCCTAATACTCTCTGGAATTAGGTAAGCAGGATGAATCCCTCCAGGGAGAGAAAGAGAAAGAGAGAGAGTCCGCATTCAATTCCAGCAATCTATCTCTGGGATTTCCATGTGTAGGTGGGAGGCATGGAATTCTCAGCTTGGCTTGGAGACTCTTAAGCAACGGTGATGGATTTCCGCGTGTGTCAGACACCCAGCTGACCCCCCAAAAAATAAAAAAAAATCAAAGCTGCAATTCCTAAACTGTGAGGCCAAATTGGGAAAAGCAACACTGCATTTAGCGAGATTAATTGAACAGCTTTGCTTAACCATGCACGTTACTCTGTATATTGTTGCCAACATGTTTTCTAACCTCTATTCTTAGAATTACAATATATATATATAATATATGAAATAGAAAAAAAGACTAGAAAAAATAAAAAGTAGGATATAAAAGGCATACATCGCCTGTTAACAGAATTCTTTAATTTCTCGAGTAGAGTGAATTCCTTACACCCCCTGTTTGGACTGTGTGGGCAGCTGTAAATTTTGAGAAATTAAGATTTTTCAGAAAGGATTGTAAATAATTCAGAAAGAAGTGAAAGACACTGACAAGACACCGTACGTCCAAAAGTGTTAAAAAAAAACAACCACACACTAATAGCACACACTCCTTAGAGCAGAGAAGGTCGAGGGAAGATTTAATGGAGGCGTTCAAAATTAGGAGGGGTTTTGATAGAGTAGATAGGGAAGAAACTGTTTCCACTGGTGGATGGGTGAGTCGGTAACCAAAGGACACAGATTGAAGATAATTGGCAAAAGAACCGGAGGGGAGACGAGAAGAATTTTTTTCACCCAGAGAGTTGTTATGATCTGGAACGCACGGCCTGAAAGGCTGATGGAAGCAGATTCAATAGTGGTTTTCAAAAGGGAATTAGACAGGGACTTGAAGAGGAAAAATGTGCAGGACTATGGGGGAGTGGGACTAGTTGGTAGCTCTTTCAAAGAGCTGTCACAGACACGTTGGGCCAAAGGGCCTCCTTCTGTGCTGTAAAATTCTACATATAGAAACGTATAAAGGAAAAAGTGCATTATATAGAGAGAAAGAGGATTGGGGAGCACTACAGAAATCAACGGAGATCTACTTTAAGCACAATTAAAACAACAAAGTCAATTATATCTGTATATAGAAAGACAAAAGGAAATAGGAAATCTACAACTGAGACAACGAGTATCCAGTCTGACAGCCCCTTGCAGTTAGGCTTGGAAATCCTGTCCATTCTTCAGATATTCTGTAAAATAACCAGAGCCCTATTATTTGAAATTGATTCAGAACTCAACTACGTTCTTCCTTTATCTTCCCCCCTTCTCTCTCTTTTTCTGTCTCTTTCTCTCTTCCTTCCTCTCTCCCCACTCAATTATTGGCAAGCAATCTGAACCGTTCATTATAAAAAAGTTTCTTAGGCAATCTGTTCATTTTCCTCCACACACACTTCCCCTCTCTTTTGCACCCCCACCGAAAAAAAAATGATCAGATGCTTAAAAAAGCTAACGCTAGCATGAACAAAAACAGCTTTACTTTGCGGTGTCAAGTGTTTTGCAACTAGCTATTAAACGCTTTTCTGTATAAAAAAACACGCAATGGGACTTTCCTCATTGAATAGTAGAGCACCTCAGGATAGGAGAAAGGACACAAGTTGCCTTGGGCAGGATGTGTGTTGGGCAGCCTTGTGACGCACCTCGCTCTCTCTGTCTTTGGTGCCTGACGCAATCTCATTACCCACAGCTACCACAGAGCCAACAGCCACACCTCCCTCTGGTGCAGTTTTGACATAAAAGGGTAATCCAATGCTCAATATAGATTATTAATAATAATAATCCTTGCATTCGATACGGCGTCTTATCACGTCGTTGAAACGCTCAAAGTGATTTGCACAATATACTGTAACGTGCAGTGATTGTAAAGTGCAGGAGGCGGCAGCCAGTTGCGCACAGCAGTGTCCCACAAACAGTCGTGGCATGAATAACCAATTTTTTTTATTTTTTTTTTGGGGGGGGGGATTGTTAGCCAGGACACCGAGAGAGAGAGAGAGAGAGAGAGAGAGAGAGAGAGGGGAAACTCCTTTCTCTTTTTGAACAGAGTCGCGGAATCTTTAACATCCACCTGAACAGGCAGACAGGGAGAGAGTGAGGTTTAACGTCTCATTCGAAAGATAAGCTGAACACCACAGATATCTCTGACAAAGATATGAATCAGTCATCTTCACTTTGATTTCCACTTCTTTAGGCAAATTCCGTCATTATTATTATTTAAAAAAAACAAGCAAACCTGGAAAAAAACAAGCAAACAAGTCTTTTTTGAACTCTTCCCCTCCCTCCTTATTCCCACAATAGGCTGGTTTTCTACGTCCTTCGGCATTTTTCCGGGAAAAAGGACAAGCAGTTAATTTGCTCCCATAGATCAATCTACCTCAACATCTCTGCCAATTCCCTCTCACCCCGGTGAATGGTGCAAACAAATTTCACCTACAAATATATGGTCAATTTACTTTACAGTAGTCTGTGAAGTGCTTTGAGAAGTCTAGAAGACGTGAAAAGCGCTATATGCAATGATTATTATTATTATATTAACAGTGACCCACCAAGCACAGCGACCATCCCAACCAGGGAAATGGCAAGCTATTGGGAATCCTCCCCCTCAGCTCCTGTTAACCCTGCAAGCCAAATGTTCCTAGCTGGACAAATAGTGGGAAAGCTTGCCAGACAGAGATGTCAATGGTAAGCTATTCGGTTTTAGCTGGTTAGACTCCAGCAGTTACCCCAATGCATACTCCCAAATCTTGGCTCTTGCCAACCTGCACCTAATACTCTCCGGAATTAGTTAAATAGGATGCATCCCTCCAGGGAGAAAGAGAAAGAGAGGGAGAAGAGAAAAGAGAGAGAGAGCGCATTCCGTTCCAACAACCTATCTCTGGGGTTTCCATGTGTATGTGAAATTCCCAGTTTGGTTTGGAGACCAAAACTTGCCTAAGGTATCAACCTGCCCTAGAATCAGAACACAGGTCCTCTCGCTCAGCGGGTTAGTATAAAAACATTTTGAAATAGCAAAAGCGGACACCAAATGGCCAACAAGCAAAGGTGCCAGTGAGAGTAGCTGTAATTCTGGTAATGTGTCAACAACAACAACTTGCATTTATATAGCACCTTTCACGTGGGGTAGCATCCCGGAGTGCTTCACAGTGGCGGAGTCTGACCCCGAGCCAGGGGGAGAGGAAGGTGACCATAATCACGATCAAAAAGGAAGGTCTCTAGACGGTTTTTAAGCTGGAGTGGGAGAGGGCGAGGCGGAGGGATTGAGGGAGAGTATTCCAGAGTTTTGGGGCGTAAAGGCTGAAGGCACGGCCACCAATGGTGGAGCAGAGGGGACAAGGGACAAATAGGAGGCCGGAGCCAGTAGAGTGGAGTGGGGGTAGGTGGTGGAGTGGGGGATAAGCACAAGCCAATCACAGAGAACGTGCAAAACCAAAATGCCACAGTCCCTCTGCACTCAAGAGGCTAAAGGTTACTGGCTCACAATTTAAACTGTGCTGGTGAACCTGAAACTTTATGTGTTGTTCTTATGGTTATCTTCAATAAGCAAACATAGGCATATCAGCGAGGGAAGATTACAGCAACACCACTGACATACTCCAGAAACCTCACAAACAGTTGTGGTTTGAGTCACCAAATTATTATTTTTTTTTGAATGGATTATTACACTGGAAAGCGATCCGCCAATCGACTAATACCCGGGTTCCACTTACTGCTAGGTAAAGAGAGACGTGTGGAGTAAGAAAACTTGCCTAAAGTTTCGCCCTGACTCGCCCGGGATTTCGACCCACGGCCTCTCACTTGCTAGGCAAGTGCTCTAACTGCTACACCTCATGACTCCACTGTAGAGCAAGGCTATAAGCTTTCAAAACCTTCAGATAAGCATTCAAGTTGTTTAAGCCTCAATGTAATGCTACCAGCAGCTGGTTTCAATCAGCCCTGGTTACAGGCTCAGTCCAAAGACCTTCAACGACAATTATTTGTAATATAAATTACACAAGGAGGAAGCTGCTGTCAAAATAAGGAGTGAAGCTCATCTTAAAACATCAATTGAATCACTAGGCAGTGTGTGTGTGTATGTGTCCAGCGTGGGGGAATCATCTTAAAATTAGAGATATTTAGGCCATTTTGGAGTGAAATCAGGAGGTAGTTTTTCACCCAAAGGCTAGCAAGAATCTGAAACTCTCTTCCTCCCCCAAAAGACTGTGGATTATGGCTGGATCCATTCACATTGTCCTGAGGTGGATGGGTGTTTGTTAGGTCAGGGGACCAAGGGATATGGGGGGGAACAGGTTCGAGGAGCTGAATGGCCTCCTCCTGTTTCTAAGTGTGTGGTTTCTTCAGCCAATTCTTCACAATCAAGACACAGTGTGGTGCTCATAGCGGCTCCCCTTTCTGCTCTTTGACTGACTATTATTCTACCCAGAACAACATACGCACAAATTCTCCATCCAACCAGGCTCCCGAGGGAGATGGTAGAAGCACAAAGTGTTGTTTCTTATCATAGAATCTTACTACACAGAAGGAGGCCATTTGGCCCATCGTGTCTGTGTCGGCTCTTTGAAAAAGCTAACGACTAGTCCCACACCTGTTCTTATCCCATAGCTTGGCACATTTTTCCTTTTCAAGTAGCTATCCAATTCCTTTTTGAAAGCGACTATCGAATCTGCTTCCACCCACCCTTTCAGACAGTGCATTCCAGACCGATTCTTTCAAGAACAGAATAGATAAGATTTCTGTTAGGAAATAATATCTGGGGAGGATACAGTATATAGTTTGGGATACGACATGTGCAAGCGATTGCCACGACAGTGGAAGGCGAACAGGATGGACCTTGGTCTTCTTTCACCTAGCAAGTTCTTATGTTCTAACCCCAGATACAGAGACTGACACGCAAAGCAGAGGGAAAGGATGGTGAACGGAAGCGACAGGAATCTCCACTGTACCCAATCGCTCGCTGAAAAGACGGACTTGGCGAGACTGCATTAACACTGCATAACAACCAGGATCTTTTGAACCAAATTCACACCCGCAAACACTTACGATATTCGTCCAAATGGTGCAAATGCCGCCTTGATGTCTTCTGTTGTGATTTCTGGACTCAAGTCCCCAACAAATACATGGAAATGATCTGGTAAGAAGGTCAAAGACAGTTGTTTAACGTCAGAGAGGGCAGGACCATGGTTAAGAGCTGCACAACTTGGGAGGAGCTTATGGAAGTAGTAATAATAATAATCCTTGTATTTGATACAGCGCTTTATCACATCTTTGAGACATCTCAAAGCGCTTCACAGAATATACTGTAAAGTGAATTGACTGTACATTTTGTGGGCAAAACGCGGCAGCCAATTGCATTGGCTGTCCCACAATCAGTCGTGGATTGAGTGATCAAATTATCCACCAATCGACTAGCAACCGGATTCCTATTTACTGCTAGGTCAACAGAGATGTGAGTGTGGAGTAAGGAAACTTGCCCAACATTTTGCCCTGCCAAGATTCGAACCCAGGTCTCTCTCATGCAAGGGGAATGCTCTAACCATTGAAGTACAGGACTCCAATACGGCTTGAAACAGGAAAGGGAATGGCAGAGAGAAAATACTTACTACTTGTGTCTTTCTTCTGGCTGCTTGGAGTTGTGGCCCAGTTGACTTTGACTTCCTGAAATTTATTTCACAGAGATTAAAGTAAAATACACACCCTCGCACTATGGCTTATTCAGTATGCACTGAAATTCTTGCCAGTCCTCGCACAAGTTATCTGGTGGATTATCTTGGTGAAATATTTGGAGAAGTTTTAATACCGAGTTGCCAATCTCTTGCCGCCCATCAACTCGCGTGAACGGTAGTGATAAACGGAGATGAATCTACTTCCCAGGTTTAACAACAACAAGATGACACATGTATAGCGCCTTTATGTCGGGAGGACGTCCCAAAGCACGGGACAGTGACAGAATTTCAGACCCGAGCTGGGGTCAGGGAGAGAGGAGAGGGGAGGGGAAGAGTGGTGACCGATGGCATGGTCGAAGAGGAGGGTTTTGGGACGGGACTTGAAGGAGGCTAAGGAGGGGGCAAGGTGGAGTGACTGGGGAATGGAATTCCAGAGGTTCGGGACTGAAGACTCTCCTGCCAATGGTGGGGCAGGTGGGTCGGGGGACGTGGAGCAGGCCAGAGCCGGCTGAGCAGAGGGAGTGAGCGCAGGGTGTTAGGAGGTGATAGAGGTAGGGTGGGGCAAGACCATGGAGGGCTTTGTAGGTGAAGACCAGGATCTTGAACTGGATCCTCTGAAGGATAGGGAGCCAATGGAGTCGGGCGAGAGTGGGAGAAATGGGGTCATGGCGTTTGGTGCACGGGCTGCAGAGTTTGGACTATCTGCAGCTGTGGAGGGAGGAGTTGGGAAGGCCGACAAGCGCTTCACACCAAATACTGTAAAGTGAAATGACCGTGTATTTTGTGGGCAAATGTGGTAGCCAATTGCACACAGCCATTCCAGAAAGCAGGGACAGAATGGCTGACAAAAAAATCGGCCACTAATGTGAGGTGGAAAGGGATGGATGTTGTTAGAATTTGGAATGATCTGCCCGAAACAGCAGTGAAGTCCGATTCAATAACAGATTTTAAGAGAGAACTGGATAGGTATCTGGAGAAGACAAGTTTGCAGGGTTATGGGGAGAAAGCTGGTGAGTGGGGTTAATAAAAGTCAGTTGCTCTGTCAAAGAGCCAGCACAGACTCGATGGGCCGAATGGCCTCCTTCTGTGCCGTAACATTCTATGATTCTATGATTCTATGATGGATTGTATGTCCCGAATAGTAGAACCTGCGATTGAAGGGTTGGGGGGGAAATTCAATTAAGAACAAATCTGGGGAAATACTACCTCAGTGAGCGAGTGGTAAACTTATGGAACAGTTTCAAGGAAGCGGTGAATATAGAACAGAGTATTTCAAAGTCAAAATACATATTGGCCGGACACCAGGAGGACAAGTACAAAATTTACATTTGCACAGGCTCCTTCACGTCAGGAGAACATCCCAAGATGCTTGGCTCTCCAGCTGAGGGTGGGAGCTGAGGTTGAGTGGGGGGTGGGGGTTGGTGGGGGGAGGTAGGAATGACCAAAAGAGCTGTCAATTACTAAGGTCTCGAGGTGGACTCTGAAAGAGGCGATGGAGTGGGCGAGTTGGAGTGACTCCGGGATGGAGTTCCAGGGAGTGAAAGGATGAAATGGAAGTAAGACGGAGAGACAGAGACAGACAAATATTGAGAGAGAGAGAGAGAAAAACCCTTCTAACTGCAACTCACCCTTTACAGATGATAGCTTACCTTACCCATAATTTTCCGTCCGTTCATGGCTGCTAATGCTGCCGCTGCATGTCGGTGCTCGTAAAACTCCACAAAACAATACGGGTCATTGCCGGTCTGTGTGAACAGCAAACACAAGCAAATTACTTTCCTGACAGGCTGTCAGGACCAATAGGTCCCAAAACATCCAGGATCCACAGCTTACAGTAGACATGTCGCATGGAGTCCTGCAGCTCAGTGGGTAGAGTGCTCGCCTCACAAGTGAGAGGAACTGGGTTTGATTCCCGGGCTGGTCAGGGCGAAACCTTAGGCAAGTTTCCTTACACCACACGCCTCTGTTTACCTAGCAGTAAGTAGGAACCCGTTTGCTAGTTGACTGGCAGATTGGATAGCTTTCCAGGGGTAATAATCCCTCAGAAAAAAAAATTGCTCACTCAAGTTTGTAGGACTGTTGTATGCAACCCGCTGCTGTGTTACACCCACAAAATACATACTTATGGTATATTCGGTGAAGTGCTTTGCTTGTGGAGTAAGGATACTAGACCAAGGTTTCGCCCTGCCCAGGAATTGAACCCGGGTCCTCTCACTTGCGAGGCGAGCACTCACCTCCAATCTCCACCAGTCAACTAACAAACGGGATTCTGAAGAGATTTCTGGGACCAATCCTATCATTATTCCCTTACAACTCTGATTTTCTTCCTTCGGTCTTTGCCATTGAGAGAAGGCCAGGCTCTAGGGTAATTCAAATGGTTGGTAAAAAAAGATAAATAATCACTTACCTCAACAATCATTTTACAGCTTTTGCAAGGTCCGATCTGACTGAAAAGTTGTAAAATGAGGGCTTCTGTCACATCTCTGGAGAGGTTCCCCACATATCTGTCAAACAACAGAACCAAGTAAGTGTACAATAAATCACCACATAGCAAGTCAATTCACTTGACAGTTCTGATGAATGGTCATCGACCCGAAAGGTTAATCCACTTTCCTCACTCCATAGATGCCGCCTGACCTGCTGAGTAAGTGTTCCCAGCAACTTCTGCTTTTAGTTCACGTTACTGTATATCCTGTGAAGCGCTTGAGACGTCTCGAAGACGTGCTAAAGCCCTATATAAAATGCAAGATTATTATTATTACTTTATATTACAGAAATTACACACAAAATGAGTGACTTCATCTCCACCTGCAAATCACCAGCTTGACACAAATAAACTATTTATCGGGCTTTTCAGGGACCAAAGATCATAGAATTAAGAAAGTGTCAACTTTGTTTTAGGGATTGTGAACACAAGTATAAAATAGCGACGAGGGGATCCAAAGGAGAATTTAGAAGGAAGTACTTCACGCAGAGGGTAGTCAGATTGTGGAACTCGCTGCCTGAAGCGGTAGTTGAATCAGATAGTGTAGATGCATTCAAGAGGAAGCTAGACCTTCAACAATAACAATTTGCTTACGTGATAAGGCACTATATTGTAAATACACAGCACCCCTCGCGGAGGATAGCGTCCCAGAGCGCTTGACAGTGGAGGAGGGATTATCACCCCTAGAAAAGTGACTAACAATTGGGTTCCTACTTATTGCTAGATAAACAGGAGTGTGTGGAGTAAGGAAACTTGCCTAAGGTTTCGCCCCAGCCAGGTATGAAATCCAGGTCCTCTTGCTTGTGAGGCAAGTGCTCTAACCAATACGCTACTTGACTCCACAAAGCATAAACAGCGTAGTAACATCACAAAATATAGTCAATTCACTTTACAGTATATTCTGTGAAGCGCTTTGAGACGTCTCGAAGACATGATAAGGCACTATATAATAATAATCCTTGCATTTGATATAGTGCTTTTCACATCTTCTCGACATCTCAAAGCGCTTCACAAAATATACTGTAAAGTGAATTGACTGTATATTTGTGGGCGAACGCATAGCAATGTCCCACAAACAGTCGTAGATTGAAAATGACCAATTTATTATTGTTTTTGGTTTTGGAGGGATTATTATTAGACTCTGTGTGGGTTAAGGAAACTTGCCCAAGTTTTCGCCCTCTGCCTGGAATTGTACTCAGGTCTCTCACTTGCAAAGCGAGTGCTCTAACCACTGAGCTACAGGACTCCACATATATCAAATGCAAGGATTATTATTATTATATTAAAGTGTATTGTAGCCAGGTTAAATAATATGATATCTCACAGGTTAATCCATTGGTTCCTAAAAGTTGATTGACTGATGTCCCTGAACTTTAAAGCACCTCAGATATGCACTGAAGCAACATAGTGAGTGCGAAATTACCAAACATCTTTTGGGGAGAGGAGGTTTAAGGGAGGTCAAAAGGATGCTTTTAGAACATTAACCTTCAAATATAAGACTGCTGTAGAATTGCAACACCACAAACATGTCTAAAAACATCCTGCTCCTTCAAGAATGGGACAAGATTAATTTCCTACTTCTGATACAGTTTAGTGCCAAATAACAGCTTAAATCTTAAACCTTAAAGCCTTAAAAACAACAGCAGGTGCACACAATCGACAGTCAGGCCTTCAGTCTCTCTGCCCCCACCCTTTCGAACTCCATCCCACAGTCCCTTCGCCTCACTCCCTCCCTTGCCTCCTTCAAGGCACGTCTCAAGACCCTCTTCTTCGACCACACCCTCCTACCCCCTATCCCCCCTGATCCTAACCCCCAGGTCGGGTCCAAATCTCTGACTGTCCAGCGCTCTGGGACACTACACTGTGTGAGGGGCGCTATATAAATGCAAGTTGTTGCTGTAATCTAAGGAATCACCTGGCTCAAAGCTATTACAATTTTAGATCGTCACAATTCTCTGTAAGGTACATTGTGTAGTTTACATGGTGTAATGGATGACACACAGCCTAAACGAATTAATTCTTGCATTTGAATAGATCGCACCATAAAATCTGAAGCAGAAGAAAATGCATTCATCTGATGCCTCCTCACTGTGTTACAAACAGAATTAATTTCACTACAGCCTATTGTTTCCCAGGAGAAGACAATTTGGGTTTGGATAGAGGGCTTATGGGAGGGTGAAACTCAACAATACAAATTGGTTAAATGGCCTCCTGTTGTGAATTTCTATGGTTCTACCTCAAGGTGATAGAATTCCTCAGTCCTCCTCTCCTCCTGCAATCTTACAAAGCCTAAGATTGTGATTATCCTTCTGGGGGTGGGGGTGGTAAGCAGGGTAGGGTCTCCTTGGAGCTGAACTGACTCGGCAACGGAATATCGGAATTGAGCCAGCCCTCTGTGACAGGCTCCAGTCCGGTTCCTGAGCCAGAAGTGTCTGCAGTATTCCAGGGCACTGCTGATGACAGCACAGCCCAGCCTGGTTCCTGCCAGGACCTGCAGACGAGTCACTGTGGGCAGGGAGTTATCGCACTCAGCTCCTTAACCCTGAAGCCAAAGCCCTAGGGTGGTCGTAGCTGGACAAGCAGCGGGAATTGGTTATTGAGGAACTGAATCTGAATGGTAGGAAACACTGGACAAGTAGCGGGAAAGCTGGCCAGATGACGCTCTCGATGGCAAGCTGCACTGCGGCTTTAGCCAGTTAGACTCCAGCAATTACCCCAGTGCACACTCTGGGCTCCCCCCAAGCCTTGGTTCTTGCCAACCTGCGCCTAATATTTTCCGTAATCAGATAAGCAGGATGCATCCCTCCAGGGAGAGAGTGTGTGTACATTCCATTCCAACAATCTATCTCTGGAATTTCCATGTGCAGGTGGGACTCACACAATTCTCAGTTTGGTTTGGAGACTTTTAATAATAATAATAATAATAATCCTTGCATTTGATATAGCACTTTTCATGTCAGGAGGACATCCCAAAGCGCTTCACAGAACACACTGTAAAGTGAATTGACTGTATATTTGTGGGCGAACGCGGCAGCCAATTGCGCACAGCAATGTCCCACAAACAGTCGTAGATTAAAAATGACCAATTTATTATTGTTTGGTTTTTTTGGAGGGATTATTATTAGGCTCTGTGTGGAGTAAGGAAACTTGCCCAAGGTTTCGCCCTGACCTGCCGGGAATTGAACTCAGGTCTCTCGCTTGCAAAGCGAGTGCTCTAACCACTGAGCTGCAGGACTTAAGCAACGGTGATGGGTTTCCGCATGCGTCAGACACCCGGCTGACCAAAAAAAATCTAAACTGCTTTGTGCATTTTCTGACACGACAACTAATTGTGCAAATATAAAGATAATTTATTTTCACAATCCTTCCTACAATAGACAGCAAACTCGTTATATAATAATAATCCTTGTCTTTGATATAGCCCACTTAATATTTTGTGAGCAAAGTATATATTTTGACACTCGTTACATGACATTGCCTCAAGACCCCAGTTCATACTAGCTTATTCTCAGATACCATCTCCTACCATTCAGATTCAGTTCCTCAATAACCAATTGTGAAGTAAATAATAATTATTATTATTGATGTCAGGAGGACTGATGTGATTGTATCAAAGGCTCAAACACTATTTGAGGGGAGAATGGTCTCTGACACATGTGACGACCCATTACCACGCTTACTAATAATACTCCTTGCATTTGATATAGCGTCTAATCTCGTGCTTGAGATGTCTCAAAGCTCTTCACTGAATATACTGTAAAATGAATTGTCTGTATGTTTTGTGGGCAAAATGGGGCAGCCAATTGCACACAGCAGCGTCCTACAAACAGTCGTGGATTGAGTAACCAAATGACTATTATTTATTTTGAAAGGATTATTACCCCCAGAAAAGCAATCCGCCAATTGACCGGGTTCCTACTTACTGCTAGGTAAACAGAGGCGTGTGGAGTAAGGAAACTTGCTTAAGGTTTCACCCTCCCTGGGAATCGAACCCAGGTCCTCACTTGTGAGGCGAGTGATCTAACCACTGAGCTACAGGATTCACAAGTAACAGTCATGCTGGAGTTTAACCAGCTAGAACCGCAGAGCTTGCTATTGAGAGCGTTTTCTTGCAAGCTTCCTGCTGCATGTCCAGCTAAAACCATTAGGTATTTAGCTTGCAGTGCTAACAAGAGCTAACAGTGGGAGGATTCCTTACCCTAAGTGACCTTCAAGTCTGTCCATCCAAATCCTGCCAACAAGCCAGGCTAGCTGGTTTGTCATCGGCCGTGCCTCAAACACAGCACACTGCGCATGGTACTAAGTGTCCGAAATATCAACCGCCAATAAAATTGCTGACTATTCTGCTCAGATTTTGTTTTAAATCCTATCCTATAATCCTATCCTATAACTGATTCAAATCAAATGCTAAATACGGAATTTATAGTATCTTTAGTGCTCAACATTGACTCCATCAACATTGATGGAATCCTGTAGGATTAGAGCACTTGCCTCACACACGAGAGGTGTTTGATTCCCGGGCCGGGCAAAACCTTAGGCAAGTTTCCTTACTCCACACATGTTTACCTAGCAGCAAGTAGGAACCCAGTTAGTCACCTGGCGGATCGTTTTTCCGGGAGTAATAATCCCTTCAAAAACAAAGTTTTAAAAAAAATGTGGTCACTTAATCCACAACTGTTTGCACACTGTGCGCAATTTCACCCACAAAATGTACAGTGACTACACTTTAACAGTATATTCTGTGAAGCACTTTGATGACGTGATAAAGTGCTGTTTCAAATGTGAAGATTATTATTATGAATCCCAAAGAGACGGCAAAGCGTATTTACCCACTGTAATTTATCCAGGCATATACACAAATATTTATAGAAAAGGATGTGAAAATATGCCATTAGCAAAATTCAGTTGAGAACTTAACACACACTTCAGTGCCAAAACCCTCTGAGAAGTATTTTGCTGGAAGTATTTAAGACAAATCGAAGTTCTCTATACAGTCAATTGACTTTAATAATAATAATAATCCTTGCATTTGATATAGCGCTTTTCACGTCGGGAGGACGTCCCAAAGCGCTTCACAGAATATACTGTAAAGTGAATTGACTGTATATTTGTGGGCGAACGCGGCAGCCGATTGCGCACAGCAATGTCCCACAAACAGTCGTAGATTGAAAATGACCAATTTTATTATATTGTTTTTGGTTTTTGGAGGGATTATTATTAGGCTCTGTGTGGAGTAAGGAAACTTGCCCAAGGTCTCGCCCTGACTGACCCCCCGGGGATTGAACCCGGTGTCTCACTCACAAAGCGAGTGCTCTAACCCCTGAGCTACAGGACTCCACTTTACAATGTATCCTTTGAAGCTCTTTGAGATGTCTCAAATATGTGACAAAAGTGCTGTACCAAATGCAAGGATTATTATATATAAAAGTTCTATAAAATAAAACATAAACATAAAATTCTAAAACAAATTTTAAATAAATTGGAGTCACAAATACCATACTTTAACCATCAATTCGTAAAATTAATCTCAACTCAAATAAAAGCATAAATAATATATGTGCTCTCTCCCCCCATAACCCCATCTTCAATGGCCTCTTGTCAGTCTTATCTGGAAGCAAAGTCACATTTTAACATACAGAATTTGAAGGGGGGGGCCGGAGGGAGCAAAACGAGGAGTGGTTATATATATTTGCGGTTATATTTTGCACAAGACAGCTTTTTGTAGGGAATTGGATGGGTACTTGAAAAGGAAAAATGTGCAGGGCTTTGGAGTAAGTAAGTAGCGGTGGAGTGAGACTATTGGGGTAATAGTAGGGGAGTGGGACTAGTTGGGGTAAGAGTGGGGGAGTGGGACAAGTTGGGGTAGAACAGGGAGTGGGACAAGTTGGGGTAGAACAGGGAGTGGGACAAGTTGGGGTAGAACAGGGAGTGGGACAAGTTGGGGTAGAACAGGGAGTGGGACTAGTTGGTAGCTCTTTCAAAGTGGCACAGGCACGATGAGCCGAAGGGCCTTCTTCGATGCTGTAAGATTCTATTAACGCAGGATTGTTCAAGCTAGAGCGGGAGAGCGTAGTGGGGGGGGAGCGTAATGGGGGGGGGAAGAGAGAGCAGGATGGGGGGGAAGAGCGCGGGATGGAGGGTGCAGCGCGCGGGATGGGGGACGCGCGGGATGGGGGACGCGCGGGATGGGGGGGAGGCGCGGGATGGGGGGAGGCGCGGGATGGGGGGAGGCGCGGGATGGGGGGAGGCGCGGGATGGGGGGGAGGCGCGGGATGGGGGGAGGCGCGGGATGGGGGGAGGCGCGGGATGGGGGGAGGCGCGGGATGGGGGGAGGCGCGGGATGGGGGGAGGCGCGGGATGGGGGGGGGGGGGGGAGGCGCGGGATGGGGGGAGGCGCGGGATGGGGGGGAGGCGCGGGATGGGGGGGAGCGCGGGATGGGGGGGAGGCGCGGGATGGGGGGGAGGCGCGGATGGGGGGAGGCGCGGGATGGGGGGGAGGCGCGGGATGGGGGGGAGGCGCGGGATGGGGGGGAGGCGCGGGATGGGGGGGACCCGCGGGATGGGGGGACCCGCGGGATGGGGGGACCCGCGGGATGGGGGGACCCGCGGGATGGGGGGACCCGCGGGATGGGGGGGGCGGGATGGGGCGGGAGGATGAGGTATGGAGGGGGAGAGAGAAGAGGAGAGATGAGTCCTGTAGCTCAGTGGTTAGAGCACTTGCTTTGCAAGCGAGAGACCCGAGTTCAATTCCCGGCCGGGAAACCTTGGGCAAGTTTCCTTACTGCACACTCCGAATAATAATCCGTCCAAAACTATAATAAATTGGTCACTTCAATCCACGGCTGTTTGTGGGACATTGCTGTGGGACATCGAATGTTATGGCACAGAAAGAGGCCATTCGGCCCATTGAGTGTGTGCGGCTCTCACTGACCCCCATCACCAGCTTTCCCCCCATATCCCCGTGAACCCGTCCTCCCAGAGACACCTGTGCAGTTCGCTCTTAAAAGCTGTTGTTGTTTGTATTGGGGGAGAAAACATCTGTACCACTGAAAACACTCAAACTCTTGAGACAGACTCTCTGTCTCTCTGTCTGTGTGTTCCTCCGCCCCATCCCGTGTGTGTGTGTGTGTGTCCCCACCCCTCGGGCTCTCCTCTGGGTGTATGTGTCACTCTCTCCCCCACCCCCTAAGGCTCGGCCTCTGGTTCCCACCAGCGGGAAACCCGGGAAAAAGAGACCGATTAAAGGCCGGGAAACGGGACCTGTCATCGGGCTCCGAGGGCCCCGGGACCTACCTCCCCGCGACTCGCTGCTGGGCCTGCACATCCCCGGCCTGGCCTGGCCGCTATGCCGGGCTGCGAACGTGGCCGAGCGGCTGGGGCGGCTGGAAGAGGCCGAGGCCTGAGGCCTAACCCGGCGGCCACAGATACTCACAGTGTCCGCGGCTGCCCGTCATCCTCCATCATCGCGGCGGGGCCTGAGGGTGGGGGTGGGGGGGCCTGAGGGTGGGGGCTGAGGGTGGGGGGGCCTGAGGGTGGGGGGTCCTGAGGGTGGGGGGTCCTGAGGGTGGGGGGGGTGAGGGTGGGGGCCTGAGGGTGGGGGGTCCTGAGGGTGACGGTGAGGGGGGGGTGAGGGTGAGGGGGTCCTGAGGGTGAGGGTGAGGGGGTCCTGAGGGTGAGGGTGAGGGGGTCCTGAGGGTGAGGGTGAGGGGGTCCTGAGGGTGAGGGGGTCCTGAGGGTGAGGGTGAGGGGGTCCTGAGGGTGAGGGGGTCCTGAGGGTGAGGGGGTCCTGTCTGTGAGGGGGTTCCGGGGCTCAGGGTCTGGAAACGGCGGCGACAAAAGCCGGAAAATCACCCGCAGCCGCAAGATGGCGGCTCCCGCAGCACCGCGCAGGCGCCAACCCAACCTCACCCCTGACCCCGGCCCCAGTGACTCACCGACCAGCTCACTGACTACCCAGCTCACTGACTCACCAACCAGCTCACTAACTAACTAACCAGCTCACTAACTAACTAGCTCATTCACTCACTGAGTAGCTCTCTAACTAACTAGCTCACTGACTCACTGATCATCTCACTAACTAACTAACTAGCTCACTGACCAGCTCACTAACTAACTAGCTCACTGACTCACTGATCAGCTCACTAACTAACTAGTTCACTCACTCACTGACCAGCTCACTAACTAACTAGCTCACTCACTCACTGAGTAGCTCTCTAACTAACTAGCTCACTGACTCACTGACCAGCTCACTAACTAACTAGCTCACTGACTGGCTTACTAACTAACTTGCTCACTGACCAGCTCACTAACTAACTCGCTCACTGACCAGCTAACTAACTCGCTCACTGACCAGCTCACTAACTAACTAGCTCACTCACTCACTGATCGGCTCACTAACTAACCAGCTCAGTGACTAACTAGCTCACTAACTAGCACACTGACTCACTGATCAGCTCACTAACTAACCAGCTCACTGACTCACTGTCCAATTCACTAACTAACTAGTTCACTCACTCACTAACCAGCTCACTAACTAACTAGCTCACTGATTGGCACAAACCAGCTCACTAACTAACTAGCTGACAGACTCACTAACCAGCTCACTTAATTAACCAGCTCACTTACTACCTCACTAGCTCACTAACCAACTAGCTCATCAGCTAACTAACTAATCAATTCACTAACTAGCTGCCTAACTGATCAGTTCTTTAACTAACCAGCTCACTAACTAACTGAATCACTAGGTGTCCTGTAGCTCAGTGGTTAGAGCACTCGCCTTCGAGGTGAGACACGGGTTCAATCCCCGACCGGGAAACCCTGGGCAAGTGTCCCCCCCACACACCCCCACCCCCACACACACCCCCACACACACCCCCACCCACCCACACACACACCCCCACACACACCCCCACACACCCCCACCCCCACCCCCACACACCCTCACCCCCACCCCCACACACCCCACACCCCCCCACCCCCACACACCCCCCCACACACACCCACACAACCCCCCCCACACACACCCACTGACACACACCCACCCACACACACCCCCACACACACCCACACACACCCCCCCACACACACCCCCCCACACACACCCCCACCCCACACACCCCCACCCCCACACACCCACCCCCACACACACCCACACCCCCCCCCCACACACACACCCACACACACACAGAGCCTAATAATAATCCTCCAAAATCAAAAACAATAATAAATTGGTCATTTTCAATCCCCGACTGTTTGTGGGACATTGCTGTGCGCAATTGGCCGCCGCGTTCGCCCACAAATATACAGTCAATTCACTTTACAGTGTGTTCTGTGAAGCGCTTTGGGACGTCCTCCCGACGTGAAAACGCTGTATCAAATGCGAGGATTATTATTATTATTATTATAACCAGCTCACTAACTAACTCGCTAGCTAACTGGTTCATTAACACACTAACTGAATCACTAGCTAACTAAATAGCTCACTAACTAACTAGCTCACTAGCTCCCTCACTAACTAGTTCACTAACTAGCTCACTAACTAGCTCACCAGCTAACTAGTTCATTAACTCAGTAGCTAACTAACTCGCCCATTAACTCACTCACTAACTAGCTCACTATCTACCCCACTAGCTAACTAACTTACTAACTAGCTAACTAGCTAACTCACTAACCAGCTCACTCACTAACTGGCTCACTAACGAGCTCACTAGCTCAGTATCGTACTTATTAACTAGCTCACTCACTAACTAGCTCACTAAATAACTAACCAGCTCACTAACTCGCTTAACTAATAATTATATCTGTATAAATAATAATTATATGTAATTATATGTAATGCATTTATTTTAATAAATAAATATTAATAAAACAGTTATTACTATTTAAAAGGGAATTATTACAAAATAAATAATAAATAACATTAGTAAATAAGTGTTACATAATATTACAAAAATAATGAATAAATACTATTAGTGAGTAATCAGTCAATAATATCACTAAATAAGTAATAAATAATAATACAAAATAATGAATAAACAATGACTATAACAGTGACTTAACAATAATAATAATAATATCCATTTAACAGTGAAGATCATTTATAATGACAGATTTTGCAAAGAAAAAGCCGATGCGCCGCCCGGGAATCGAACCCGGGTCGCAAGAATGGGAATCTTGCATGATACCACTACACCAGCGGCGCAGCTCCGGGAACAGCGCCGCGCGGCGCCGACCATTAGCTGCCACTCCCCACCCGGTGTCTGTCACTGCACCCACCGCGCATGCTCACCGCGCCGGCCACGCCCCTCCCTGCAACGCCACTGCGCACGCTCATCGCGCCGGCCACGCCCCCTCGCTGCAACCACACTGCGCATGCTCACCGTGCCGACCACGCCCCCTCGCTGCAATCACACTGCGCATGCTCACCGCGCCGGCCACGCCCCCTCGCTGTGCTCTGGCGCCGCTCCTCATCTCCTGTTGGTGTTCTGGAACAGAAGTCATTTCCTGTTTATTCTCTCTCTCTCTCTCTGTCTCTTTGACCCTCTGTTGTTCCCCTCTCTCTCTCTCTATTCCTTTCTTCCTCTCCTCCACTTCTTCTCTGTCTTCCTTCCTCTCCTCTTTCGCTCTCTCTCTTTTTCTTTCCTTTATCATTCCTATTCTTTTTCCTCTCTCGTTATTTCTTCCTTCTCACTCTCCCTCTCACTCCCTCTCACTCACTCACTCCCTCTCACTCACTCACTCTCACTCACTCACTCTCCCTCTCACTCACTCACTCACTCACTCTCCCTCTCTCTCACTCACTCACTCACTCCCTCTCCCTCTCACTCACTCACTCTCACTCACTCCCTCTCACTCACTCCCACTCACTCACTCTCCCTCTCACTCACTCCCTCTCCCTCTCACTCACTCCCTCACTCTCCCTCTCACTAACTCACTCTCCCTCTCACTCACTCACTCCCTCTCACTCACTCTCCCTCACACTCACTCTCCCTCACACTCACTCACTCTCCCTCTCACTCACTCCCTCTCCCTCACTCACTCTCCCTTTCACTCACTCCCTCTCACACTCACTCACTCTTCCTCTCACTCACTCACTCACACTCACTCTCCCACTCTCTCACTGTCACTTTCTCTCACTCACTTTCACTCTCACTCGTGCTCCTTCTCACTCACTCTCACTTTCTCTCACTCACTCACTCACTCTCTCATTTACTCACTCTCGCACTCTCATTCACTCTCTCACTCTCACTCTTCGCGTAGAAATATTTTACTTTGTTTCCTTTTTTAAAAAAAATCGAAATAAAATTTCTGGAGTCTTCAATGAAGACTCGATGTGGGATGTCGTCAATATGTGTAAATTGGTGGTTGCGTTCGCCAACAAAGTCACTACACTTTACAGTAAATCCTGTTGAAGCGCTGGGAGATGTCCTCCTGATATGAAAGGGGCTGCAACAGATGTAAGGATTAGTGTCGGTCTGGGTCAGTTGGTAGCAATTTCACCTCTAAGTCAGGAGGTTGTGGGTTCAACCCCCACGTCGGGGACTCTGAGCTCACAGTCCAGGCCGAGACTCCAGCACAGCGCTGGAGGGGAGAGAGTGAGCGCCATATTGTCAGAGACGCAGTCCTTCGGGTGAGACATTGAACATCACTCACTCACTGTCTGTGTCTTGTTCAGGCGAACATTAAAGATCTCCCACATCGCTGTTGGAAAAGAGAAGGAATTTCTCTCTCTCTCTCTCAGTCGCGTGGCTGACAGTCCCCCGGATAAAATGGCTCGCTTGCTTCATGATTGTTTGTGGGGACGTCGCAGTGCGCAAAGTGGCTGCCACATTTGCCCACAAAAAAGTCGCTACACTATACAGTGAATCTTGTGAAGCACTTTGAGACGTTCCGCATTGATCAGATGCACGGATAAATTTAAAGGGACGCAGGAGTTTGTAACATGGGATTGAGAACAAATCGATCAGAAAGAATAACCAACTGAGACTCCATCACTCACTTGGATTTTGCTGCATTCGGTGTGAAGGAACAACCACCACCTCGTGGCCACACATAGTAATTTATTTTGATCACCAGGTGTCTGACTTCATGCGGAACCCCATCACCGTTGCTTAATGAGTCTCCAAACCAAACTGAGAATTCCATGCAACCCACCTACACATGGAAATCCCAGAGATAGATAGGAATAAGAATCACTCCCCGTATGTGCTCTGTTCAGGCGAACATTAGATATCTCCCGTGGTGCTGTTGGAAAAGAGAAGGGAATGTCTCTCTCTCTCCCGGTGTCCTGGCTGAACATCCCCCAGATACAATGGCTCACTCGCTTCATGGCTGTTTGCGGGGTCGTCACTGTGTGCAAATAGGCTGTCGCTTTTTGCCCACAAAACACACAGTCACTACACTGTACAGTGAATCCTTGGAGACGTGAGAGGCCCTGGATCAGATGCGAGGAATGTTATTTTTTAACGTCTAAACCCATTTATCACTCGTGACGCCCAGACAATGCGGGAAGTTTAGATACATTATATTTACAGTGCGAAAAAATAAGGTATTCACAGCAAAAGACATCATACAAAAATCTAGTGTTCCCAGTTAGTTACTGTGTGTGGAGCTGTCAATATCCAGTAACAACAGTGAACAATACAAGAGTGATTCCATCAACAACAACTTGCATTTACACAGCGCCCTTCTTCATTCACGCAGGGCAGGTCTTGGAGCGCTTCATATCGACGGAGCCTGACACAGAGCCGGGGTGAAGTGACTGTAAGCACGATCAAAGAGGAAAGTCTTCAGACATAATCTAAAAGAGGGGAAGGAGGGACCGAGGCGGAGGGATTGCGGGAGAGAGTTCCAAAGGTTCGAGGTGTAGTGGCTGAAAGTGCGGTCACTGATGTTGTTGTTTGTGGATAGTGGCATTTCACCCACAGAATATACAGTCACTACACTTTACAGTGTATCCTGTGAGGCACTTTGAGTATTCTCGAAGATGTGATAAGGCACCACATGAAATGCAAGGATTATTATTATTATTATGATTATTATTAGTGGAGCTGGGGAGACCGGTGAGGGTAATCAAACTGGGGTCAAGGGTAAAATAAAAATACAACAACAACTTGCACTTATATAGTGCCCTTCACACAGGGTAGTGCTTAAATACCCACTAAGAACTGGCACTTTACAGAGCCTGAAGTGAGTGGGAGATTATAATCCTTTCATTTTGATACAGCGCCTTATCAGGTCTTTGAGACGTCTCAAAGCGCTTCACAGGATATATTGTAAAGTGTAGTGACTGTGTATTGTGTGGACAATGGGGAGGGGGAGAGGGCTTGGTGGGGGGTAATAGGATCAAAGATGTCAGCCCAGCTCAGTTCCAATCTCATCTCCAAGTCAGTAGGTTGTAAGTTCACGTTTAAGATTGGAAGCTGGGCAGGGGGAAGAATCTGGATATCCTGTGGATCGAGGACTTGGAAATGTCGTTCTCGCTGCTTCTCCTGAATGCAACGTCTGGCTTTGGTTGCCGCTGCCGATTGAGTTCCACCTCCAGGACCTGGGAAGACGGATGCACAAGCACGTTACCGTGGAAATAAGCACAAGAACACAAATGATTTGGATTGTTTTTTATGGTCGGACGAAGTCTCCAAACCAAACACTGCCGTTTACCAAGGCTAGGGTGGAACCCCAGAGTTGGAGTCACTGCTGGAGTCTAACCAACTAAACCCACACAGAACTTGGCCATTGATATCGCTGTCTGGCCAAGCTTTCCCGCTGCTTGTCCAGGTCAGAACCCCCTCCCCGTTATGGCTGTGGGGTGACCAGGAGCTGAGGGAGAGGATTCCCGGCCCCCAGTGACTGGTCGGCCCTTCCAGGTCCTGCTGATGAGCCGGGCCGGGCTGTGCTGTCAACAGCAGTGAGTGCCCTGGGATACTGCGGCCCCTCCTGGCTCAGGAACCGGGGGCTCGAGACCGGCACAGAGGAGGGGGGCTTGATCCCAACATTCCATTGCTTGGACATCACCTTGGGACCAGTTCAGCCCCGAGGAGACCTCCCGCTTACACCCTCCCCACCACATTCCCACTCCAGCTCCCATCTCTCGCCTCTCGCTGCTGGTAAAGCCTCGCAGTTGGTGTTCCCGGTATTCCCGGTTACCTCCTTGCGGGACACGAGCCGATCGCTCCATTCTCTTTGCTCCATTGTATGTTCCTGGTCCAGTGTCTTCAGCTTCTTCTTCTCGCGATCCACCAGCATATGTTCCTTTTCTTGCTGAGGGGCCGACATCAGTCAATAAGCCACGAGCAGACAGGCCACCCACCCCCTCCCCTCCTGCTGGCCCCTCTCTTCCCGCTATTCCTCCCCTCTCCCTTCTCCCCTCCCTTCCTTCCCCCTGCCCCTACCCTCCCACACTGACCCCCAATAAGTTCACAAGCCGAGGCAGAGAGATGTTGAGACGGCGTCTCGTGGTGGGGGAGTTCGGGGGGGGGGGGGGCAGGGTCTCTGGGCTGGGGGCGAGTACTCTGGGCTGGGGGTGTAGTTGCTGGGCTGGCGAGGTGGTCGCTGGGCTGTGGGGGGTCTCTGGGCTGTGAGGGGTCTCTGGGCTGGGGGTGTGGTTGCTGGGATGGGGAGGCGGTCGCTGGGCTGGGGGTGGTCTCTGGGCTGGGGGGTCTCTGGGCTGGGGGTGTAGTTGCTGGGCTGTGGGGGGGTCTCTGGGCTGGGGGGGTCTCTGGGCTGGAGAGGGTCTCTGGGCTGGGGGTGTGGTTGCTGGGGGGGTCTCTGGGCTGGGGGGTGGTCTCTGGGCTGGGGGGGTCTCTGGGCTGGGGGGGGTCTCTGGGCTGGGGGGGTCTCTGGGCTGGGGGGGTCTCTGGACTGGGGGGGTCTCTGGGCTCGGGGGTCTCTGGGCTGGGGGGTCTCTGGGCTGGGGGGTCTCTGGGCTGGGGGGGTCTCTGGGCTGGGGGGGGTCTCTGGGCTCGGGGGGTCTCTGGGCTCGGGGGGTCTCTGGGCTCGGGGGGTCTCTGGGCTGGGGGGGGTCTCTGGGCTGGGGGGGTCTCTCAGCTGGGGGGGGGCTCTGGGCTGGGGGGGTCTCTGGGCTGGGGGGCTCTCTGGGCTGGGGGGGTCTCTGGGCTGGGGGGGTCTCTGGCTCGGGGGGTCTCTGGGCTGGGGGGGTCTCTGGGCTGGGGGCGGGTCTCTGGGCTCGGGGGGGGTCTCTGGGCTGGGGGGGGTCTCTGGGCTGGGGGGGGGTCTCTGGGCTGGGGGGCGTCTCTGGGCTCGGGGGGGGTCTCTGGGCTCGGGGGGTCTCTGGGCTCGGGGGGTCTCTGGGCTGGGGGGGTCTCTGGGCTGGGGGGGGTCTCTGGGCTGGGGGGGGTCTCTGGGCTGGGAGGGGTTCTCTGGGCTGGGGGGGGGTCTCTGGTCTGGGGGGGTCTCTGGGCTGGGGGCAGGGTTTCTGACCTGCAGTAGCTGGAGTTCACTCCTGTTGCTCTCACACAGCCTCAGTCGTTGCCGAAGATGTTGCTCATGTTGCTGCTGCTGTTGTTGTCGCTCTCTCTTCTGCCGCTTCTCCTCCTGCAGCAAGAACTGGGGGCGGGGGGGGGGGCGGGGGGGAAAGAGTCGTCAGCCCCATCCTAAACTAGTCCCTCCTCCTGACCCCACCCAGCCCCCCCTCCCACATCACACCCAACCCATCCCTGATCCAGCCCAGTCCCAACCCACATACCCACCTCCTTGACCCCAACCCGACCTCCAACCCAACCCCCAGCCCTCAACCCTTATCCCAGCCCCCAACTCCCCCAGCCCAAGCTAGCCAAGCCTCCAACCCACATCCCCACTTCCCTGACCCCCAAACCCCCCAACCCAGCCAAGCCCTCCCAAACCCCCCTAAGCGAGAACTGGGGGGGGCGGGCGAGAGAGCCATCAATCTCACCCTGAGCTAGCCCAGGCCCCAAATACCCCCTTCCCAGCCCCACCTTGCACCAACCAACCCTCCTCCCCCTGACCCCACCCAGCACCAACCAACCCAACCCACTCTTCCATGCCAAGCCAACCCAGTTCCCCCCCAACCAAGCCCCTCCCTGAGCAAGCCACCCCTTCCCCTCAAAACCCAGCCCAGTACATTCGCTCCCCAGTTACCTGTTTGACGAGTTCTCTCTGCTCAGCTGTGCTGAGGGACCTTGGCTTCAGGCTGTGTTTGTAGCTGACCAGCTTGGTCTTGCCGTCCTGCCGCTGGAACTTGGGCAGCCGTGCCCGCTCCTGTGCCAGCTGGGCCCGGAGCTCCTCCATCTGGGAGTTGTGGTCTCGGCACATCCGCTCCATCTCCTAGACACGACATAGTGGGTCCGCGAGGTCAGGTCATAAGACAGTATAATAATAATCCTAGCGCTTTGTCAGACACCCGGCTGGTCACGGTGACGGGTTTCCGTGTGTGTGTGTGTGTCAGACACCCGGCTGGTCACGGTGACGGGTTTCCGTGTGTGTGTGTGTGTCAGACACCCGGCTGGTCACGGTGACGGGTTTCCATGTGTGTGTGTGTGTCAGACACCCGGCTGGTCACGGTGACGGGTTTCCATGTGTGTCAGACACCCGGCTATCGCTCGCTCACCTTCTCGCCCCGCTTCTTCAGTTGGTGTCTCTGCAGTGATAATTGGTCCTTCACTTGTTGCTTGAAGAGGTGGTATTTCTCCTGTAGGAGGCGCCCTTCAACATCCCAGATCACTGACTCCCGGTCTGTGGTGGGGACGGTGGACAGAGAGAGAGCGAAAGACATGGTAACTCCTCTGAGCATCATAATAACATTTGCATTTGATATAGCACCTTGTCATGTCGTTGAGACATCTCAAAGCGCTTCACAGGATATAAAGTGTAGTGACTGTATATTTTGTAGGCAAATGCGGCAGCCAATTGCGCACAGCAGCGTCTCACATATAGTCGTGGAATGTGACCATTATTTATGGTATTTATTGGAGGGATTATTATCCCCGGAAAGCAAGCCGTCAATCGATTGACAACTGGGTTCCTACTCAATGCTGGGTAAACAGAGGCGCACGTGTGTGTTTGTGTGTGTGTGGAGTAGGGAAACTTGCCTAAGGTTTTGCCCTGACCTGACCTGGGCTGGGTCCTCTCGCTTGCGAGGCTACGCTATGGGTGTGGGTTCTCCAGACAAGGGGGCCAGTGGGTAGCGGGTGGAGAGTGAAGCTCAGCTGTGTGCGTGTGTTGGATGTCACGTTACTAAGCGAGGACAATGTCCACTGACCTCTCTTGAGTTGACGTGTTCGAGTCAGATACTCCTCTTCACACTGGGCTAACGTATTCTTCTGCTCCTGTATAATTCCCTGCATGGCCTCGTTCAGCTCCTGCTGCTGCTTTTGGATGAACTCTTGCTCCTGACAAGAGAGAGAGGAAATTTTTTTTGGCAGATCATCCGAGTGTCTGACTCATCACCGTTGCTTAAGAGTCGCCAAACCAAGATGAGAATTCCTGCATCCCACCTACACATGGGAATCCCAGAGAGAGATTGTGGAATGGAATGCGCTCTCTCTCTCTCTCTCTCTCCCTGGAGGGAGGCATCCTGCTTACCTAATTCCGGAGAGTATTAAGCGCAGGTTGGCCAAGGCTTGGGAGGAGCCCAGAGTGTGCATTGGGGTAATTGCTGGAGTCTAACCAACTAAACCCATATAGTTTGGCCATTGATGTCACTTTCTGGCCAAGCTTTCCCACTGCTTGTCCAGCTAGGACCCCCCTATCGTTTAGTTAGTTAGGGCTTTGGCTGTGGGGTTAACAGGAGCTGAGGGGGAGGATTCCCGGCCCCCAATGACTGGTTGGCCTTCCAGCTGCTGCCGATGAGCCGGGCCAGGCTGTGCTGCCATCAGCAGTGAGTGCCCTGGGACACTGCGGCCCCTCCTGGCTCAGGAACCGGGGGCTCGAGACCGGCACAGAAGGTGGGGGCTCAATTCTGATGCTCCACTCTCCCATTCCCCTCCCCAAGCGATGAAGTGTGAGCGTGATGGCGGTGGGGGGGGGTGGAGTGGGGGGGCAGTTGGGGATAAAGTCTCTCACCTGCTTTCTATCTCTCAGTGAACGCTGCTGTTTGGATAACTCTTTCTCCTGTTTGGCCTTCAGCCTCTTGGCCTCATCACGGAGCTGGTTAGTGTAATCCGCTTCCAGTCGTTCCTCTTTCTGTCGGTAACTCCGCTCTACGCTCTCCAGCTCCTGATCGTAATACTGTTTCTTGCTCTAGTCAGCAACAAACTGGGACTCAGCTCTCTCTCCCACTGACACAATGCCTTATCACGTCTTAAAGCGCTTCACAGAATAAACTGTAAAGTGAATTTTCCGTATATTTTTGTGGGCGAATTGCACACAGCACTGTCCCACAAAGAACACAATACAATACAAACTGACATTTACACAGTGCCTTTCACGTCGGGAGGACGTCCCAAGACACTGGACAGTCAGGGATTTGGACCTGACCTTACAGGGTCGTGAATTGAGTGACAATTTTTTTTAAAGGAATTATTACCCCCAGAAAAGCGATCCACCAATCAACTAACAACTGGGTTCCTACTTACTGCTGGTAAGAGGCGCATGTGTGTGCGTGTGTGTGTGTGTATGTATGTCTGTGACTGTGTGTGGAGTAAGGAAATTTGCCTCAGGTTTCGCCCCGACCTGACCCGCGGGAATCGAATCCGGGGCATCTTGCTTGAGAGGCGAGTGCTCTAACCACTGAGCTACAGGCATTTACACAGCGTTCTTACTATCATCTCCTGCTCGATGCTGCGAAACATCTGCTCTCGCTGTTGCTGTAGTTTCTGCTCCAACTGTGCCAACGCTCGCTGCTCTTCCCTCTGCAGAAGACGCAGTTCCCTCAGCTCCTGCCGCCTGGAACAAACTCGCCGTTAATAACACTCTTAAATAATAATAATTATAATAATCTTACATTGGATTCAGCTCCTCATCCCCTCATTGGGACGTCTCAAATCACTTCGCAGAATAGAACCTAAGAATTTGCTAGGCCAGAGAAGATCAAGCTCCATCCAGTTCGCTTTCCCACCATCCTGACAGACGCTTGCACATGTTATGTCCCAAACTGTGTAGGACATACTGTAAAGTGTAGTGACTGTGTGTTTTGTGGGCGAAACACGGCAGCCAATTGCACTGAGCAACATCCCCACAAACAGTCGTGGATTGGTGACCACATTATTACTAATATTCTATACTTTTTGGAGAGTTTATTACTCCACGGAAAGCGATCCACCAATCAACCAACAACCGGTTAGAGAGAAAGAGAGATAGAACGTTACCTGAGGAGAGAGAGAATGTTCTTGAGGAGAGGGAGAGAGAGAGTACCTGGCTGATCTCAGCACATCTCCTCGTGTCTTTTCCTCGCTCACCACCTTAGAGGTGGTGACGCTGACCTCAACTCCGTCCACAACAAACTTTCTGGTTTTTTTGAGTGTTTTCCTCTGCTGTGGCTTATCCTGGGAACGTGACCAGAATGTCAGTCCCTGTCAACCCCAGAGAATTCCCTTCATCCCCTCCAAAGCCAAGCTGACACACACTGAGCCGGGCTCACACACACACACACACAGAGCCGGGCTCACACACACACACACACACACACACAGAGCCGGGCACACACACACACACACACAGAGCCAGGCTCACACACACACACACACACACACACACACACACACAGAGCCGCTCACACACACACACACAGAGCCGGGCTCACACACACACACACACACAGTGCCAGGCTCACACACACACACACACACACACACACAGAGCCGCTCACACACACACACACACAGAGCCGGGCTCACACACACACACACACACACACACAGAGCCGGGCACACACACACACGCCACAGTTTGTGTCCGGGAGAGTGTGAGTTGTCGGCTTTCCCGGTCCCGTTCCTGTACCTGATCCGGAGATGGATGGTGTTCCCGCGCTCCGTCACTCGCTCCCGGATCGGGCTCTCTTTCTCTCTCCTCTTCCTCCTTCTCCGGGTCTATGTGTCCCGGTGTAGCCGGGCTCCTCTCTCCCTCCGCCCGTTCCCGGTTGGCCCGGGCTGTGCCGTCGGCTTCCCTTCCAGGAGTGTCCGCCCTCTGTCCTGGCGCTCCCGAGGTCTGCCGTTCCCGGTCCTGTGCGCGGTCGGACACGCCGGACCCCTCCGCCCACTCCTCCTGTCCGCCCACGGGAGCGCGGTTTCCGGAACCTTTGCCCGGAGTCAAACCGACGGTTCCGCACGGCAGGAAAACCGAATCCGTCTCCCCCTCCATCTCCCCCTCCTCAACCCCCTCTATTTCCTCCATCTCCCCCTCACCCTCTATCTCCCCCTCCATCTCCATATCTCCTGGTGCTTCCTGGCTCCTGATCTCCCTCACCTCAACCCCCTCACCCTCCTCAACCCCCTCACCCTCCTCAACCCCCTCACCCTCCTCAACCCCCTCACCCTTCTCACCCTCATCAATCCCCTCCCCCACATCAACCTCCTCATCCCGTACAGGGCCCACCGTGTCTTCACTGAACACAGAAATGTCTCCCCACCCACTGTACACAGTCTCCGCCCCACACACAGCGGCCGTTACAATGTCATTCGGGGGACTCTCTCGCTGTAACGACCCCTCCTGTGCTGTGCGGGGGGGCTGTGTATTGGGGAGCTGTGTGCGGGGGGGCTGTGTATCGAGGAGCTGTGTGCGGGGGGGCTGTGTAACGGGGAGCTGTGTGCGGGGGGGCTGTGTATCGAGGAGCTGTGTGCGGGGGGCTGTGTAACGGGGAGCTGTGTGCGGGGGGGCTGTGTATCGGGGCGCTGTGTTCGGGAGGGCTGTGTATCGGGGAGCTGTGCGCCGGGGGGCTGTGTATCGGGGCGCTGTGTTCGGGAGGGCTGTGTATCGGGGAGCTGTGCGCCGGGGGGCTGTGTATAGGGGAGCTGTTTGCGGGGGGGCTGTGCGCAGGGGGGCTGTGTATTGGGGAGCTGTGTGCGGGGGGGCTGTGTATCGGGGAGCTGTGTGCGGGGGGCTGTGTATCGGGGAGCTGTGTGCGGGGGGGCTGTGTATCGGGGAGCTGTGTGCGGGGGGGCTGTGTATCGGGGAGTTGTGAGCTGGGGCGCTGTGTTCGGGAGGGCTGTGTATCGGGGAGCTGTGCGCCGGGGGGCTGTGTATCGGGGAGCTGTTTGCGGGGGGGCTGTGCGCAGGGGGGCTGTGTATTGGGGAGCTGTGTGCGGGGGGGCTGTGTATTGGGGAGTTGTGTGCGTGGGGGCTGTGTATCGGGGAGCTGTGTGCAGGGGGGCTGTGTATCTGGGAGCTGTGTGCCGGGGGGCTGTGTATCGGGGAGCTGTGTGTGGGGGGGCTGTGCATCGGGGAGCTGTGTGCCGGGGGGCTGTGTATTGGGGAGCTGTGTGCCAGGGGGCTGTGTATCGGGGAGCTGTGTGCCAGGGGGCTGTGTATCGGGGAGCTGTGTGCGGGGGGGCTGTGTATCGGGGAGCTGTGTGCCAGGGGGCTGTGTATCGGGGAGCTGTGTGCCGGCGGGCTGTGTATCGGGGAGCTGTGTATCGGGGAGCTGTGTGCGGGGGGGCTGTGTATCGGGGAGCTGTGTGCGGGGGGGCTGTGTATCGGGGAGCTGTGTGCGGGGGGGCTGTGTATCGGGGAACTGTGTGCGGGGGGGCTGTGTATCGGGGAGCTGTGTGCGGGGGGGCTGTGTATCGGGGAGCTGTGTGCGGGGGGGCTGTGTATTGGGGAGCTGTGTGCGAGGGGGCTGGGAGCAGGGGCTGTGTGTTGACCACCCGGTGACCGGCTCCTCCTCGGTACTAGTCAACGTCTTCTCGGACACCACATTCCCCGCTCCAGCCATTTCCCGCGGTTTTCCTGACAGCGATCCCCTGTCCTCCGCTCCCGAGCTCTCCGCCAGATCCGACATTCCTGCTCTCTCCCTCTCCCCATCGCCGTGGCTCCCGCCTTCCTCCTCCGCCATCTCCCTCTCCTTCCCCAACTCTCCCGCAGTGACATCCGGCAAAGCTCTGGCATTCCCATCCCAATCTGGGGTTACTGTGGGCACCACTGGGTGTGGATCAGTGCCGCCCAGGTCCTGATCTTCAAGATCCCCGTCCATAGGGCTTTCCCGCGTTGTGTCTGATTCTCTGTCCACGGTTTGTGTCTGGCACAGTTGTGGTTGTGTCTGTGGCTGTATCTGGGGCTGTGGCTGTGGTTGTGTCTGGGGCTGGGGTTGTGTCTGGGGCTGGGGTTGTGTCTGTGGCTGGGGTTGTGTCTGGGGCTGTGGCTGGGGTTGTGTCTGGGGTTGTGGTTGTGTCTGGGGCTGGGGTTGTGGCTGGGGCTGTGTCTGGGGTTGTGTCTGAGGTTGTGTCTGGGGCTGGAGTTGTGTCTGGAGCTGGGGCTGGTGTTGTGTCTGGGGCTGTGGTTGTGTCTGGGGCTGGGATTGTGTCTGGGGTTGTGTCTGTGTCTGGGACTGGGGCTGTGTCTGGGGTTGTGGTTGTGTCTGGGACTGGGGTTGTGGCTGGGGCTGTGTCTGGGGTTGTGTCTGAGGTTGTGTCTGGGGCTGGGGTTGTGGCTGGGGCTGTGGTTGTGACTGGGGCTGGGATTGTGTCTGGGGTTGTGTCTGGGGCTGGGGCTGGGATTGTGTCTGGGGTTGTGTCTGTGTCTGGGACTGGGGCTGTGTCTGGGGTTGTGTCTGTGGTTGGGGCTGGGGTTGTGTCTGGGGTTGTATCTGGGGTTGTGGCTGTGTCTGGGGCTGTGTCTGTGTGGTTGCCGGAGCTCTGTGGGGCTCCTCTCTCCACTCACGCAGCCTTTCGTCCTCACTGCTGATGTCTGACTGGGAGTGTTCATGTGATGGCACAGACTGTGAGCAAACACACACACACAGTGTTAAACAGAACTCTCTCCCTCTACCCCCCCTCCTCGCCGCCTTCCTTCCCCATCTTCAGGTCACCTCTCCCCTCCACCCTGACTCTGGGATGCTCCGAGGAGACCCCCTTTTCCTTGTGAAAGGAAGAATATTATGGGTCAGCTGGGAAGAGTAGGATTGGAACTGGGGGAATGAGGGAAGACAGTGAGGAAGTGACCGTAGACGTGAAAAACTACCTCTGCTCTTTCCTCCCTGTCCTCTCCCTCGTCTTCCTCATCTTCCTCGTCCTCTTTTCCCTCCTCAATCTCCTCCATCACCTCTGCCTTGGCCTCCGCGATCAGCTCACGGACGGGCTTGTTGTTGGTGACGGAGGCAACGAATGGGTGCTGTGAGAGAGCGAGCAAGAGAGACATGGTGAGACACCAGGTTCACCCCGACACACTTTAACAATAATAATCCTCGCGTTTGATATCGTGCCTTATCATGTCTTCGAGATGTCTCAAAGCGCTTCACAGGATATACTGTAAAGTAGTGACTGTGTATTTTGTGGGTGAAACGCGGCAGCCGATTGCGCACAGCAACATCCCCACAAACAGGAGTGGATTGAGTGACCAAATTATTATTATCTGATAAAGGGTCGTGGATCCGAAACGTTGACTTACTCTCCTTTCTCCATAGACGCTGCTCAGTTTCCCCAGTTCTCTGTATTTTTTTCAGATTTTCGGCATCTGCAGTATTTTGTGTTTTGAAATTATTATTATTGTTTTGAAGGGATTATTACCCCCAGAAAAGCAATCCACCAATCGACTAACAACTGCTCTCACCCTGACACATTCTCACATTGACACAAGCTCACTGCAACAAAATATATTTACACAGCGCCTTTCGTGTTGCGAGGATGTCCCAAGGCGTTGGACAGTCAGGGATTTGGACCCAAGCTGGGGGTTGGGATCAGAAGGGGTGGAGGGCAAGGGAGGGTGGGAGGGTGGCTGCTGTGATGATCATCACCTGTAGTAATTGCTGAGCTGTCCATCGGGCTGCCACGTTCTTCTCGAGAGCTTTTCTTAGGAAATCCTTAAACTCAGCAGACCTGTCAATAAAATAATAATCCCTGCATTTGATACAACGCCTTATTGTTGAGATGTCTCAAAGTGCTTAGGATACACTGTGAAGCGAATTGACTGTGTATTTTGTGGGCAAAATGTATTTTGTAAGATCCCAGAGCCTGGTGCGGGTGAGCACATGGGCTGCAGAGTTCTGAATGATGTGCAGCTTGTGGAGGGAACAGTTGGGAACCGACAAGCAGGGATTTAGCAAAGTCGAGCCTGGATGCAATGAAAGCGTGGATGAGGGATGAGAGAGAGATAGTGGTGGGGGCGGGCGATGTTGTGGAGGTGGAAGAAGGTCATGGCACAGATGTGAATTGACACTGAGTAGGATGTATTGGGATATAGGATAAACAGAAGGAGATGGATTGGGATAGAGGGAGAGACACAGAGTGAGATGTTCTAGGAGAAAGCCCCCCTCCTCTCTCTCACACACACACAGAAACTCCTATCTCTGGGAAGTCTTTGCAAAGTGAAGTGTAATTTGTTGTTGTTGTTATGTTACCATCGGGTGGGCTGGGCCAGAGCAGGAGCAGGGCTCTTGGTGATCTTGAGGAGGACTCTCATTGGGTTGAGGTCATGATGAGGAGGTTCCATTTCTGCCATCTCGATCAACGTGATGCCCAGCGACCACACGTCAGCCTTCTGGTCATACGGAGTGTCCTTGCTGGTCTCACACTGAATAACTTCAGGTGCCATCCTACAGCAGAGAACCGCGATCAGCCGAGTGGTCTGACACACACGGAATCCCATCACCTATCACAGTGTCCCAGAGCGCTGACCTACCAGTATGGGGTCCCAATGAAAGTTGTTCTGCGTTGCAATGTTTTGGTGTTCTTGGCTGACACCCCAAAATCAGCTGGAATATCACAACACAAGAAGCTGTCAGCCATCTCACATCCCTCAGCCCCCACCACCCCATCTCTGTGCTGGTGCTCGTTTCGCAATTGGAGCTCTCTATAACCCCTTTTTTCCATGATTTCTCTCTCCCCCTTCGTGTCTCTCTCTCTCTCTCACCTAGTTTGATGTCTCCCTCCAGTGACAGCAAGATGTTGCCGGCCTTCAAGTCCCTGTGGATGATCTTGTTGCTGTGAAGATAATTGAGAGCCTCCAGGGTCTGCTTGCACACAGCCCTGATCTGGGCCTCAGTCAGTGCTCGCTCCAGCTCTGTCACAACACAGCACAGAGTTACACAGGTGCACAACACAACACCACACACACCGAGTTATACAGGTGACCGTAGGCACTGGTCGAAGAGAAAGGTCTTCAGTTGCGACCTGAAGATGGGGAAGGAGGGGGCAAGGCTGAGGGAGGGATAGAGGAAGAGTTTCAGGGAGTAGTTTATTATTATATGATAATAATTATTAAATAAATAACATTTTAAATAATAATATTTATTAAATTAATTTAATATTATTAAAAATTAAAATCATTAAAAAACATTACGACTTTATTACTCACCCAACATTACAGCATCCACAGCACCCCCTGGACAGAACTCCATCATAATCTGCCGAGAATCAGAACCGTCAATTATACGTGTGTTGCCCCCAACCCCGTATGTGTCACCCACATTATGTTTCCTGTCTCCCAGTGTCCCATGTCTGACACACACGGAAACCCGTCACCGTGACCGGCCGGGTGTCTGACACACACGGAAACGGTCACCGTGACCGGCCGGGTGTCTGACAAACACACACGGAAACCGGTCACCGTGACCAGCCGGGTGTCTGACACACACGGAAACCCGTCACCGTGACCGGCCGGGTGTCTGACACACACGGAAACCCGTCACCGTGACCGGTCGGGTGTCTGACACACACGGAAACCCGTCACCGTGACCGGTCGGGTGTCTGACACACACGGAAACCCGTCACCGTGACCGGCCGGGTGTCTGACACACACGGAAACCCGTCACCGTGACCAGCCGGGTGTCTGACACACACGGAAACCCGTCACCGTGACCGGCCGGGGGTCTGACACACACGGAAACCCGTCACCGCGACCGGCCGGGTGTCTGACACACATGGAAACCTGTTACAAATTAGCTGCCGCGGTCACCTACAAAATAGTCACTACACTTCACAGTGATTGACACCATCATAATAATAATACCTGCATTTGATATAGTACCTTATCATGTCATTGAGAGGTCTCAAAGCGCTTGACAGAATATACTGTAAAGTGTAGTGACTGTGCATTTTGTGGATAAAACAAGGCAACCAATTGTGCGCAGCAGTGTCCTCACAAACAGTAGTGGATTGAGTGACTAATTTATTATCTTTTTGAAGGGATTATTCCCCCCGGAAAAGCGATCCATCAATCAACTAACAACCGGGTTCCTACTGACTGCCGGTAAACAGAGGTGTGTGTGTGTGGAGTAAGGAAACTCGCGTATGGTTTTGCTCTGCCCGAGAATCAAACCCGGGTCCTCTCGCTTCCGAGTCGAGTTTGCTAACTGCGCTAATATCATAATAATGATCCTCATATTTGGCACAGCTGTTTATTACCTCATTTTCACAACACTTCACAGGATTTACTGTAAATAAAGTGTAGTGATTGTGGGTTTTGTGGTTGAACTTAAGCAGCCAATTTGCGCATAGCGACATCCCGTCAAACAGCCGAGAGACAAGAGAGGAACTCCCTTCTCTTTCCCCCCACCCACCCCCCACACAGTGCCACGGGAGAGATGTTTAACGTCCGCCTGAACAGGGCCCAGATGGTGACTGACTGAGTGAGTGAGTGAGGTTTACCGTCTCATCACTATATCACTGACCAGAATCAACATTCTTTCCTATAATCTCCGCTGACCTCATTGGTGCGTGAGCGGAGAGGAGCGAGTGAGTTGAGTGAATGAGTGAGATGAGTAAGTGACTGAGTGAGCGAGTCAGAGAGTGAGTGAGCAGAGATGAGTGAGCGAGAGAGAGGGAGGGAGGGAGGGAATGAACCAGTGAGTAAGGGAATGATTAAGTAAGTGAGTGAGCGACCGACCAACCGAGGGAGGGAGGGAGTGTGCAGACAAACCAAGGCAAACTGAGGGGTTTTGAGGTTGTGTGTTTTTTCGCCTGTGAGATTGTTAGCGAGCGAGAGAGAGAAACGCGCAGGAAACACAGTGCCGGTCTGACTGCAGCGAGAATCTCACTCAGGATGTGGATAGCATCTGAGCTGCAGGAGCGGTTTGCTCGCTCGCTTTCTCGCTCTCTTGCTCTGTTTCCTTCCGTGTCATATACATTCGTCTGTTAGCTGCTCACACCGTGAGACCAGCCTCCAGCCAGCAACACCCCCCACCTCACACGCACACTCACACACTCAGCACACACACTCACTCACATTCGCACACTTACACACTCACTCAATTCACTCATACACACACTAACGCAGAAACTCGCAGACGCACCACATACACATTCACTGTATCCAGGGCGCCCGTGTGCGAGTGTGGACCCTCTCGACTCTCTACCCCCTCCTCGCTCCCTCCCTTCCCTCCCCTCACCCTGACCATTTCCCCTCTGCTCGGGTCCCGAAGTCAAGCGCCTTGGGACGTCCTCCCGACGTGAAAGGCGCTCTATAAATGCAATCTTATTGTTGTTGTTGTATATCTGTGTATGTGTTGGTGTCTGTTTATCTAAACCCCATCCTCACCATCTCAAACTTCTCTGCTCCCATGAAAACAACAAAAGCCCAGATGTGCTTGGGGTAATGCTGGAGTCTAACCACTAAACCCAAAGTTGGCCATTGATATCACTGTCTCGGATACCTATACTAATTCTCATGGCTGTTTGTGGGGATGTTGCTGTGCGCAATTGGGTGCCGTGTTTCTCCCACAAAATACACAGTCACTACTCTTTGCAGTAAATCCTGTGGCCCCCCCACCCCCCCCAAGACTCCGTCGCACAGTTCCAACCCCCATCCCGTCCATACACTCACACACACACACTCACATATAGCACACACGACAGACATCACACTTACACATATGCCCTGACACACTCACGCACACTTTTATAAAAACAAGAGAGTATAAATGTGATCAATAAACTGTAACGTTCTACACCTCGACGCTGTGATGGGGGTCAGGAGGGAGGAGATCGGATGGGCCGAAGGGCCTTCTTCATCCAGACAATCTAGTGACTCCCTTTTCAGATATTTCTCTAAATCCCTCTTAATACCTGACACAAGTTCTCCTCCCCCGTAATCCCCTTCCTCTGTGAACCATCTCCCCAGTCTCCGCCCTTTGCTATTTCCTGTCGCTCTCTGCCCCCGCGTTCCCATCTCTGGGACCAGTGGGGATCACGTCTCCCCGTCGGTCAGCCTTCGTATTCACAGCCTCACTCAGGAACAGGAGGAGGCCATTCAGCCCCTTGAGCCTGTTCCGCCAAGCTATAAGATCATGGCTGATCTGCACCTCAGATCCAATTACCCGCCTTTGCCTCATATCCCTCGATCCCGACCTGACAAACATCTCTCCACCTCAGTCTGGACAATGTGAATGGATCAGCCATAACCCACAGCCTTTTGGGGGAGAGTTCCAGATTCCCACTAACCTTTGGGTGAAAAGCTGCCCCCGATTTCACTCCTAAATGGCCCGGCTCTAATTTTAAGATGATGTCCCTTATTCTGGGTTCCCCCTCCAGAGGAAATAGTTTCTCTGTCGCTACGCTACTGAATCCCTTTATAATTTTAAACACCTCAATCAGATCAGCCTCAACCTTCCAAACTCAAGGGAATTCAACAACAACAAATTATATTTACATAGTGTCACTCTGTCGCTGATACAATACAAAATGACACTTACACCGCGCCTGGACAGTCAGGGACGTGGACCCGAGCTGGGGGGTGGGATCAGGAGGGGGTGGAGGGTGGGGGTAGGAGAGTGACCGAAGGCACAGTTGGAGAGGAGGATCTTGAGACGGGCCTTGAAGGAGGAGAGGGAGGAATCGAGGGGAAGGGACTGTGGAATGGAGTTCCGGAGGGTGGGGGCAGAGAGGTTAGATGGTGGGGGTGGGGGTGGGCCAGGGGACGTGGAGGAGGCCGGAGCCTATCGAGCGGACAGGAGTGAGGCCGTCGAAGCCTTTGAAGGCGAGGACGAGGATTTCGAACTGTATCCTCTGGAGGATGGGGAGCCAGTGGAGCCGGGCGAGGCCGGGGGTGATGGGGCCACGGAGCCTGGCGCGGGAGAGGACACGGGCTGCAGAGTTCTGGACGACACAAGCCAAGTCAATGCAAACTGTCCTCATAATTTAACCCTTTAAGCCCTGGTTTCATTTTGGTGGATCTACACTGCACCCTCTCCAGGGCCAACATATCTTTGCTGAGGTGCGATTCCCAAAACTGGGTTAGGGTTAGGATGGGGTCTCCTCTCAACCTTCACTGCT